GACATGGTGGGCTTAGGTTTAGAACCAAGTCTAGTTACTTACAATATACTTACGAATGGATATTGTAAGCACAACAGGCTCGTGCAAGCTAGAGAGCTTTTTGATGATGTCATGAACCGCGGTTTTACTGTTGATGCATTGATCTTTAATACTTTGATTGATGCTTATTGTAAGGCAGGAGAAATCAACGAGGCAATTTCAATTCGTGATCTGATGTTAACTAAAAACGTATGTCCCACAGTTTCAACGTATAATTGTTTCATTGGTTTTTATTTCCGAGAAGGCGATACTGAAGCAGCTACGGACCTTTTGGGGAACATGGAGGAGAAGGGATTACGAGCTGATATTGTCACCTACAACATACACATAGATGCATTATGCAAAAAAGGGGAATCTCGAAAGGCTGTTAGGCTCTTGGATGAGATGTTTGACAAGGGCATAATTGCCAACCATGTTACTTATAACACGCTGATGGCTGGTTATTTTCGAGAACGGAATCCTAGTGCAGCTTTGGTTGTCAAGAGGCGAATGGAGAAGGAAGGTAAACGGCCTAATATTCTATCGTTTAATGTGTTGATTAAGGGGTTCTGTGAGACTGGTAAGCTGGAGGAAGCAAATGCTTGTCTTAATGAGATGTTGGAGAAAGGGTTGACACCAAATAAGACAACATATGAAATCATCAGAGAGGAGATGATTGAGAAGGGATTTGTCCCAGATATAGATGGACATCTATATGCTGACTCTGTCAATGCTTAGTCCATAGAGCCTAGTCTGAAATCACTTCTTAAATGCATTTGAATTTCCTAGTTGCGTTTCCAGAGGTTGGACATGGGATTGCTTCGTACTCTTTACGCAGCTGTACCTCACTGTTCAGGAATCAGCCTATCATTGGTGAATGGCTCTAACTGGCAAAACATTGCCATTTGAAGTTCTATATGCAATCTGCCTCATCACTGGAAGCAGTCAATGAAGTCCAGAATGGATAAGCTTATTGGTCATTGTCAGTTTGTAGATCACTAGCTCTCAGTGGCTACTACCAGACTAAGAAGTAGGGAGCTTCATTTCATTAGTGGATATCCAGTTACCACAGGATGATAAGATCATTTATATTTATGAGGAAACAGATGCAAGATGGGCTCTATCTTTCAGCAGCTGCCAAATACCGAGTGACTTCTGGATCATCGGCCTGCCTAATTTCGTTGCAGCCCACCATTTGATCTGATCCGATTTTTCTGATGTTTGTTCAGTAGCATCCTGCTTTGCTCTTTTCTGCCCCTGAGAGAGCATGAGGCAGAAAAGATTCAATCACATAATGGAATAAATGCCAGTTGTTATTGTGCCTGCAAAAGTGGCCTTTGTTCTATCTTCAGCACCTTCAAATTACATAATATACTTCACGAAGGATTTATCATTCATTTTACTCAACTGCTAGAGACTAAAAGGCATTTGGGCACGACTGGTGTAAGCTGTATATCTAGAACTACTATCCGTTCTCGAACTGTTGGGGTAAGAACAGGAAAGTGTTTTTGTTGGCTTGGTCCCAGAAAAAGAATTTTTTTTGCTACCCAGCTAAGAACTACCTCGAAGTAAGGACTCAATTATGAGGTGATAACTTAGTAACGGTCGGAAGCGCTCTATTGTGTCAAAGGTTAGTAGGTTACTGAGCAAGCTATATTAGTCAACGTGAGATGAGGGACACACAAAGTTCCTTCAAGAGCTTATTCAGAATTACTTTCTTTAAAGGTTGGTGTACTTTCCTGGTTTAGTGTTTATTGGTGCAACCTTTCAGTTGCCTCACCCTTTTGAAGACTTTGAATATCTATTTGGGCAACATTTAATGATATGAAGACTCTTGTTTTCTCTTATATTTCAGATTCTTCAAGAGGAATGATCCTTTTCATTTTATGCCGAAGCTTTACTAAACTACACGTACGAGGAAAATAGTGAGAAATTTGTATGTTCAGCCAAGTAAGTTGCCTTGCCTCTTATTTGTGCAAGTAATCTGATTAAATTCATTTGTTCTTTTTTACCCTGTCACTTCATCTTGGTTGCATGAGTTATGGTTAGCCTAATCACTAATTTGTTCTTTTTTACCGTCACTTCATCTTCGTTGCATGAGTTATGGTTAGCCTAATCATTACTATGTTGCTTACTGAGTTAGGCTTTTGTTAAGCATCATGGCATTCAGTTTCACTGTTAGTTTTATCTGTAGGAAATCAGTGGCTCTTGTTAATCCTAACTTCCTTTTTTTTTCTTTTTTTTTTTAAATCACATTTACTTCCGTTGTGGGTGTCTTTTCTTGATGAGTCATGACACAGACCTTTATATTAGACTATTGACACAAGCCTTTGATGATGCTCCAGTGGCTTCTATCCCCCTCCCCAGAATCTTCTACTTTGGCTGTTTCAGTTTGAACTGCAGGCTGTTATTCTGCATATGGTGATTCAAACTCTTTAGGCTGGTTCCCATGACAAAGATAGGATGGATATTTTTATTTTGATTACTTTCTGGTTGGAAATTACCATTTCTTGTATTCCAACCTTTTGTTTTGTGGTTAACTGCAAGTTCAATTGTATTGTTAGTGATGATAAACTAAACGCATGGTTAGCTTTTGCGGGGTAAAATTCAAACAATGAATCTTTTCTTTTATTTTTTTGTTTTCCCTGCTCAGTGGTGAAGTTGCTAAAGGAACACTGAAATTGGGATTGGGAAAATTAAAGAAAATTGATTATGTTGATATAATTCCTTTCCCTTTTCATTTTTCTCGCATGAGACATTAGTAATCTAAATGCAATATTCTGTCATCCTTTTCTTTCTTTATGATCTGGAATCACAAATTAATTAGTTGTTTACTTTCATGTTCAGATTCCAGGAGAGCACTACGTATACAAGAAGTAAATTCTATACTTGTTTAGCAATTAGCGGCTCCAGTTCAGTGGGGTGAGACTCAACTTCCTACTAGTTCATTCGAAGAGCAGTAGAGAAATATGTGTTTCAGCGGTTGGCTAAAAACGACCCAGTTTCTACATACAACAGAGAATGAAGTTACCGTAAAGTTACATGGTTAGTTTGGAAACCTCAAATATCAATGGCAGTTCAAAGAACGGAATATGGAAACACTTCAAATACGTTGAAAGGGCAAAAAGAGTGGATAGAATATCAAGATGCAGCAGGTAAACAGTAACAACAACTATGCTGAAACCTTGGCATCCAATAGGAAAGGCCCTGAGCCTTGTTTTGGATTCTCGGTAGAGATGAAAAGGGCCAAAAGCTTATAGCTGAAAGCCTGAAACCGCTGTCAAGGAAAAAGTGCAACGTTGGCGCATTGCAGAAAGTAGAGGCTATACTGTCTACAACGGTGGAAGCTCAACTGTATAGCAAGCAGATTATTGTGCTGTTAGATGAGAGAGTATGTCGCTTATTAGTTGAAGGTAGAATTGCCACTTTTCAGTCATATTCCAAACATCTTTCCTGTTAAAAGTCTCCTGTTGATGCATATGTAGATTATTTTCATTGATAGAAGCTGCTAGAACATATCACATCAGAGCCTAGACAATTTTGCTTGATGGTGTAATAGCCCTTCAAGCTAGGGATAGCAATCCACGCAATGGATTAGGCTTGATGATGAGGTATTTAAGACTGATTGTATTAGTTTAAGATGAATTGTTTTGCAACCAGTATCTCTGTTCTATAGTTTGATGAGGTAATTAAGACAAATTGTAACCTTGGTTGGTTGGACGCATGTGTTTTCTTCTCCATTTCTTCTCAAAATGGTTGTCATTTTATGTCCGTTCCAAAATAAGACGGGGGGTTGGAGGAGTAGTAATTTTTCAATCAAAATATGCAACTAAAGACAAGACAAACATTAAAGTGATTGGACAGATTTTATTGTGTGGGTAGAATATTTTTGGAATCCCATCCGGCTCCCCCATGCATCATGTCTTGTGGCATCTTTTAATTATTCTTTATTTTCCTCCTTTTTTTTTTTTCTTTTTTTCTTTTCTTGTCAAATGATGTCTTTTCCATTTATTCAATACATTATCCACTCTATCTGCCCAATAGAATTTTCTAGTACTCCACTTGCCTCTGTCTTTTACATTATCCAAGGTTCCTAATTAGTACATTATTACTTTGGAAACTGAGAGTTTCTAATCATATTCTTAATTACAGATTAGATGTTTGTTTGACCATTAATCCCATCTTCCAGACTCAAAAAGATAACGATAAGATCGGCTGGGTTGGTTTTGTGTAGTGGATAGCATTCATCATTGCTTCAACAAAATTCTTCCCAAAAAGCACCAAAAAAAGAAATTTATCTGAATGAACCAGATGTCCATAGCTCCACCTTTCTTTCGAAACCATCAGTTTTTTTTTTTTTTTGGCTTTGAAGTTCTTTAATTCTTAACTCTTCCAAAGTCCAAAGTCTACCCACCAAAATAGACTAAAAATCAGATCAGATCGACATTTGCCAACCCTCTTCTGGGCTGATCAGGATTTAGGCTGCTTATTAAGTTGAGTAACGTAAACTTCTTTTCTTCCTTTGATTATAGAAATATTTCGTGTCCCTTATCCAATTTTTTTTGGTACCTTTCTTAATCCCCTCCAAAATTTCCTTCAGCATCTGGGTTCAAAGTTTTGAACTTTATTTCCAAGATTGCTTCTTTTTGGGCATTTCATGATTCATGTGCTCTTGTTTTTTGGTCAGAAATGAATGTTGATATTCTCTAGTACAGAAGAATCAATCTATGATATCTGTGATTTGCACCACCCTGTTAGGCATTTGTCTTCTGCAATCTTTCTCTGTTGTGTTTCTGTACTATTTTTATGTGTTTTCTTGAGAAGGGCCATTAGTATATAGTATAAACAAGATCTTCTTCCATTTTTAGCATCACCAATTACTGAACTTGGACATTCCCATAAAAGGGTAGGAGGAAAAAAAAAAAAAAGAAAAGGGGTTGGTTCATTTTCTTTCTTTTTGTCAAAAAAGGGGGTGGGCAAAAATGGCATCAGAAAGTGACCAAAGGTACGCAATGATGGATGAGAAAAAGAGGAAGAGGATGATTTCGAACAGGGAATCAGCAAGGCGGTCCAGGATGAGGAAACAGAAGCAAATGCAGGATTTGACTGATGAAATCAGCAAATTGGAGGTTTCCAACAACGCTGTTGTGACCAAAATGGATGAGATTACGGATAAATATACAGTCATTGCGGCAGAGAACAATGTCCTGAGAGCCCAGGTTCTGGAATTGACTGAGAGATTAAGGTTATTGAATGATGTGATCAAGAAAAGGGAAAATGATGTTAATGGTAATCAGTTACCTGATCGTTCATTGAAGCCTTGGCAACTTTCTTGCTCAATGTCGCAGCCAATCCCAGCTTCTTCGCCATTGTTTCAGAACTTCTGATCTTGAAACTCTGCTTTCTGCTTTGCTGTAGATAAACTTTTCTTTCTTTTTTTGGTGCGAAACGTGTTCCTGTTTTGGTTTCTCTGTTTCATTGTGTTGAGATGAGAAGTCTGGATTTCCTGCTGTTACCAAATATGTATAAATTTCATCATCTCATTTCAACATTGATGTAGTTTGCACAACTAAATATTTGTCACGCTTTTGGCTACTTCTTCCGTGAGTCTCCAAATTCATACAATCAAATTTCGTAACGAAATTGGGAAATTTGTGCGGATGTTGTTTTGATTTTTTTTGGAATTCAATACCAGATGCAATATCACCTTCTCTTATTAGTGATTACTGGTTTTTTTATGTGTCACAAGTTGTGATGGTAAGTTTAGGTTATGCTGTATCATTTAGATTTTTTAAGAAGTTAAGAACTAAACCACCTTTTGGAAGTTAAGAAATTCCAAAAGGTTAAATAAGAAATTAAGAATTCACAAAATAAAAAGAAATGTGTGCCTTAGACGAAATTGATTTTACGACAAAAATTAGGTTTGACTGAGTTCTCGTTCATTACATACATTTCTCTCCTAAATCAACATCAACATCAACAATAACAAGCGCCTCAACACCGAAAACAAAATTTCATTGTTAATAGCTTTGATACATTCTTATTTAAAATTTGAAAAAAGAAAATTAGAGACATGGATCAGAGAAAATGTGGAAAAAACGAAGTAGTGAAAGGATACAGAATTTGCGAAAAAGGAAATAGAATGACCTTGAATTTGTTCCTTCAACGTTGACTATCAATTTCATTGCGTTTTTTCTTTTCAGTTATACTACCTCTCTGTCCCAACAAAATAGTCCACATTGAGTTTTTAAATTTGTATGAAAACTAATATAAATATCAAAACTTAATGTGGATTATTTTTTTGGACGGAAGGAGTATATCATCAATTTGTAAATGGGATTTTGAAAATCTAATCTCAAAGTCAACCATTCATTTCTTTTTGGGATGGTATGAAGTTAGGATAATCTCAAAGTCAACCATTCTTTTTTGCAATGTAGTTTCGTAATGATCTAAAGCATTCTTTAGTAAGAAAGAAAAACAAATTATACTCATTTCTTTTTATTGCAGTTATGAATAAGTTGTCATTGATCACTACGTGACGTACATTCTCTAAATTTCTATCATCATATAATAGTTTATACTCTCTCCGTCCCATAATTATTATTCAGTTTGAGTTTTTATTTCTAATTTAAATTATACTAAAAGTGAAATCTCAAGCTGGACAATAATTTTAGGACAGGAGGAGTAGTATATATCAGCAACTACAGGCTGGACAAGGGCAAGTACACAAACAAGGTAAATAGAGACAATTACAAATGCTCCGTTTTGCTGTAGATTTTACTGTTCCATTTGCCATGGAAAGACCCTTAACTTTGGCGCTGCCGCCGGCGGCGGCGGTGACCATCGCTGTCACCGCTGCCGCACGATCAAATTCGGACCAAAGTTTCCTACTTTTTCCGACCACAAAATACTCTGAATCGGCCACCGACATCGCTGCTATAAGATTGGCCCAAAGAACAAAAAGAATTAAGAGGAAAGAGAGCGACATTAGAAAGGTTGTTTTTGCCATTGGGAAAAGATTTGCAAGTTTAGAAATGCCCATATATTTATAGAATGGAGAATTGGTTTGCGGAATTTTAGAATTTATTTTTCTGGCCTTGTTACATTGTGCAGCCGTACTTTAACCAAGATTTCCAAAATCTAGTGTTCTACCAAGAAGAAGTGACCACGAATATGACTATATGAGCAATATTACTGACCATATTTAGTGTGATATCTTTTCATATATAGACAATTAAAGTAGCATCTGCCATTTTATCCATATAAGATACGAGTAACGACTATGTAAGTGTAAAACACATATTTTGGAATTTTTTTATTAAAAATTATCCGGTGTTATATATATTCAGTTATTCAAAAATTTACTATTAATTTTTGGCGATGACATGACATTTGTAGGCATAAAAGTGGTTTTATCGCAGCAACGTAATTTTGTAATGATCAAAATTTTTTACCTCTTTTAGTCAGCAAAAAGAAACAAAAACAATTATGTTCACTTCTTTTAATTACAGAAGAAAGAGTTTCATCAATGATTATTACAACGAGACCGTTGGTTCAGTGATTAAAAAAAAACACAGCAAAATCTATTTCATCCCAAAATCAAGAACACACTAATCACCTCTTGTTGCCTCTTCAACTTCTACAAACCGTGGAAGACTCGAGACCATGAATATGAGCAATATTATTGATCATACTTAATTATATTGTGGTGTGTCCTTTTCATATATAGAGAAATTTAATTAACTGAAGCGAAGGTTGATCTACAAGACATGAAGCGTAACACACACATGTATATGATGACATTTTATTTGAAATTTATCTAATATTTAATTTTAATCTCAAAACTTATCTTTTGGGGACAAAGGTACGTAGTAGAATATTAATACCCCGAGACAAAATTGAAGATTGTTGTTGCTAACATTTATGAACTTGTAAAATCACCAATCTGATCAGATCAAAGCTATATCAAGCTTGTAAAAAAAAAAAGAAAAAAGGTGAAAAATAAGAATAGAGAATAGGTTCAATTTTTATCTTTTTATTTTTTTTTTACATAGAGCTAGCTAGAAACTTATCATATGTACTATTTCAATCATTCATTTTTCCCCCTTCTGGGGTGGAACGATGTAAGTTAAGTTTTAGCTGCTTCTGTTATTGAAAATAAAAAACACTTCTATTCACTAATAAATTTTTATTGCAGAGATTAATATGTTCTCATAGATCATTACAAATCTGTACCACATATCGACAATCACAAGCTTCACAAGGACACAAACACAAGCAATAAACAACATGCAGACATGTACAAATGTTCCATTTATCACGGCAAGACCATTAACTTTGCTGTCGTCGCCGGCGGTGGTGTTGACTGCTGCTTTGCTGCCCGATTAACGTTGAAAAAGAGTTTCCTACTTTCTCGGGTCACAAGAGTTTAATCTAGTCTCTAAAATGAGAGTGAATCTTGCGACACGTAGGAGATGAACAATATTATTTGCAATATATACAATTATATATATATATATATATGAATTGAATTTAGAAAAATCAACAATTATTATATATCAGATGATCAAGAATTATCAAATTCCCATTGATGTTTGTGAACCTAGCTGGTAGTAGTATATATATATGTTATTCAAAAATATAAAATTTTGAATATTATTTCAAGGATGAAGACCAATACTAATCTAAGCCATTTTAACTTTCAAGAACAAGCTAAGTACTTTCCAATTTCCAACAAAAGTAATGAATCTGATGATTAATTTCTTTTAATTTTTTTTTATTTTCTTTTGCATTTTGATAACGCGCTAATTAATCCCATGATTAACTTATTATGAGCAGTATCTTTTAGAGTGGGACGTTTCTTTTAGGGCTACTAATGTGCTTGCTGTCTTCGATGGTTCCCAAAAATCTTTGATGGGAATCACCTATATACAATTTGTTGTTTACAAAACTCTTGCATGTACCCTGGCAACTTATTCCGGATGTCTAATATTCTTCCGGCAGCTTTTTGGGTGTGTTCGTCGAATCATTTGTTTAACTTAACCGAAAAATTAAATGAATCTCTTAAGTATATTCAGTACCATTTGAAAAAATATACGACTGGGTGTTTTATTTTATTTTTTTTGACGCACATTTACAAATACTTAATCTATTACATATGGATGAGATTTATGGGAAAAGAAATAGTACTACTAAGGCGGAGACTCCACGCGCGTACGCTTCGATCTGGTACTCGGAAAGCCTTCTAACGGGTGCAAGCGAACCTGCACGACTGGATGGTTAAATCATGGTTTCAACATGATATTATCGGCATACCTTAAACTTTAAAGCATTTTGACTCTTTATATATTGAAAAACAAGCCTAATGCAATTATCAAACATGATCTCCACATGATCGAACATTAAATTGGGGCTATGAGATTAAACCGTAGAGATTCAAAGTTGAGTTAATTATGCCTTTGTTTAGTCAATGAAGCTTGGTATAACTTTATATCATCTCAAATTTAGTAATTAAAAAAATAGTACTTTCTCGTTCCAAAATTATTGCTGGGAGCTATAATATTATCTTGCACTAACAAATTTTTTCTCTTTGGAGGCTTCCCCTTAAGTCTGCAAGATTCTTCCCGTTTCCCTACTTTCCTCGTTGAGAAATGGCATAGTTACGATGAAATTCAGGAGCCAATGCCAGTCTCATTCATTCTCTACAAACAAAGAGAATCAACTTCTAGTTTCTATAAATTGATGGATTCTGCCATGCACATTATCACCCCAAAACCATCTTAAAAAAACAATTATCTTCTTCATCTCAAATTTCTTTATTTTTCCATCCATTAATTAATAAGTCGATCTTTTTAATTTCCTTCATTTCAGTTTTCAACATGGCAGCTGCCAAGACCAGCAACCAAATGATTGTGTTATTCTCACTTTGCATGGTTCTTGCAGCACTCAACTCGTGCATTTGTCTTCATCAGGAAGATATTGATCCATCATTACAGATTATTCATGCTAAGATTCACAATTTGCACCGTAACGGGGCCGTCAGCGGACACAACAATCCCGGTGGTCTAGGGACTTCATCGGTGAAAGTTCACGGAGGAATTGATAAGATTAACGTCAGGAGAATGCTGCAAATTCGGGATTGCCCCTTTTGTCCAGGTTGTGGTTGTCCTCCTGTTGATGACTGCAAGAACTGCTGTGCATACGTTGGTTGCCAATTGATGTGATGAAGAAAAAAAAAGAAAAAAAAAAGGAGCTGTGTCACCTTAAATAATTACTCCATCCCTCTAAAAAATAAAAAGTTACCTACTTTGTTACTCCCTCTGTCCTAAAATTATTGTCCAGTTTGGGATTTCACTTTTAGTATAATTTGAACTAGAAATAAAAACTCAAACTGGACAATAATTATGGAACGTGGGCAGTACTTGTTAAACTACAGTGTCAAGATTACAATAAACTGGACTGACTTAGTAAGGGCCGGGACAGTGGGAGTAAGTATTATGGGTTTATCTTACTTTCTTTGTTTTTATGTTGTCTGAATGTTTTGTATTTCGTTAAATAAGAGTTCAAAGTTGGTTACTTTGTTGGTACCCGTCAACCTTACACATTTATACAATCAAAAGTTTTTACATGCATATATGCAGCTTGTTATACAATTATTTTATATGCTTTTGAGCTTTTGATAGTTCTTTATGTGAAATGCAAATCGCTCAAATACTATTATCAAAATTACTAAATTCGTGTTTTTGTATTCAGTGTTTGGTATCTTTTTTTCGCGAGGTGTCAATACGAGATGGTAATTAAGATGATCTTTGTCATACATATATCGAAAGTCTAATTTCGCGACGCATTATTTGATTATATATTTTGAAAATTAATGGACCGAACTGGAAAGATCGTATGTGACTTACTCGTTCTAGCTTTTCAAATGTTTTTCTTGCTTTTTATATAGTTCTCAATCTTTTTGTTCTTAAATAATGCATATAAACAAAGATAACCAAGAAATATTGCAAGAAATGAAGTGACTGAAATTTAAGAATTAACACCATCCACTTAATGTGAAATGTTTAACTCTAATGGTGAAGTCCAAAAATAGAAATTTGTAATCTAAAAACGCACCATTTCATATCATTTTAGTTTCATTTTTGAAATTTTTCCTGACAAATATCATTATTTTTTTCAATTAAAGATGAACGCATCATCCTTTTTGTTGACAAAAAATTAAAGATAACACATCAACTTTTGTTTTTTTTTTTTTTATAAAAAAAATCTTATACTCCTTTCATTCTGAAATGATTGTCTAGCTAGTTTGGATTTTACTTTTAATATAAATTTTACTAAAACTTTTAAATTTCCATTTTAGTATAAAATGTGCAGGGGAGGGGCGGAATCAAAACTGGACAATCAAATTGGGAGAAAATGAGTAATTGATTTTATCTTTCAAGATTTGTCCCAATTAAGGTGGGTGAGAATGTGATAGTGAAATTGCTAAATATACGGAAGCAACTTTGATGAATTCAGTTATTGTGAGTGAGACTTAAGATGATTTCAATATGTTAATGGGGGGAGTAAATCAACAAATCTTAAGATCAAATCTATATCGAGCTTGTGAAAATAAAAAAGAATAATAGAAAAAAGAGAATATGTATAATTTGTACTCCGTAATTTTTTTTTCCTTTTCAAAAGCTTCGTACGTACATGATTTATCCTCTAGCTATCGGCATTGGCAAGCGTCACAAGGGCACATACACAAGCAAGGTAAATGGAGACGTGCAAATGCTCCATTTTTCCGGGACAGTTCTTGTTCCATTTGTCTCAGAAAGACCATTAACTTGATGGCCGCCGGCAGTGGTGGTTGTGGTGGTGTTAATCAGTGGTGCCGCCCGATCAACATCGGAACAAAGTTTCCTACTTTTTCCGGTGGTGGAGAATTCAGAATCAGCCATTGACATTGTTGTTCCGAGGATGGCCAAAAGAACAAAAAACAAGAGCAATGAGAGCGATATTAACTGGATTGTTTTCGCCATTATGGAAGCTTGAGGATTATATTTAGGCTAAGGAAGCGTATGTATATAGTTGATTGTCATTTTGAAGTGGTTTTTTCTCTTTGATTTGGTAGGTCAATTATTTTAATAAAATGCAGAATTGATTTGCTGAATTTTGGTAATTATTATTTTATGGCTGTTTAAGGTGCAAAGATCTCGAAAGATGTTGTCCAAAGGTGAACACATAAGAAGATTTTTTATTCCAATATATGATATTATGCACAATAATTAAGTATGTTCAAATTTGGAACCGAACTGGACCGTTCATGAATCGGGACCTGAACTTTAATGAACCGTTCAAAAACTAGAATCGGAACCTTCAACTACATCTGAAAAACAGATAATAAAAAATGTAGGAACATTTGTTACATTCATTCGTTGTATGCATGTACAATATAACTTTTATAAATTAATAGTGTTGGAATCACTAAAATTTATTATTTTAAAAAATTATTAAATAATCTATAAATTAATAAATTATCAATTTAAAGAATTTCTATGAGGAAAAAATAACCGTAACTAAATTACTTAATTTGGAATTATTTTTACATCCAAATCAGTCAAGTATTAACACTATTCTGAATACTAAAAATCCATACATAGTTTATTATCTCTAGGGACTAAAAAATAAGTGTCAATAGTTCATATTTTACTGGATATTTATAATTATTATTTTTATTTTTTGCTTTTAGAGTACTTATTAATTTATGGTATTGTTGGGACCTATTGATAAATAGGAGATTTTTGAATTATTATTATTATCTTATCATTTTATCGATTTTTCTCACTTTTTGTATTGGTTCCAGGTTAGAACCGGATAAAATTATTAATTGCTAGAAATTATTAATTTATAGATTATTAATTTACCGACGTTATAGTACTGTATTTGAAATTTTGAGTTTCTTTTTTTTGGTACAAAGAAGGACACTACAGTCTGACAAAAATTAAATTAGAACGTTTCGCGGATGAGCAACACTGATTACATCGCGCTCCAATCACGGCTTTATACCAGAAGGCGGGTTATCCACCCAATACAAATCGATCGGGACACTACTAGCTAGATATGCTAAATAATCTGCTGCGAAATTCGACTCCCTAAAAATATGGTTAATTCGAGTTTTTCAGACCAAAAGTAGGATAAATTATCAAATGCTGACTCAGATTTTTACATATGTTCATTTTTGTATGTGAGTTTTCCTTTATAACACTATAGAGAGAGTTAGGTGAAATGTCGAAACCAAATTACTATGTTTTTTTTGAACAACACGGAACACATCGTGATGAAACTAAAATTTAGGAATAAATCCCAATGCATCAATTTTAGTAACCGACTCCAAATAGTGCGCAACAGAATTTCCCATCCTATCTTATAAAGATTCATTCAACTGAACAAATGGACCAATTTGGCGACATTAATTTGGACGAAATTTCAACTTGATGAGTAAAGTTGGAATGAAATTTCAAAGTATTCATTGTATAGTTTAGGTTTAGATTTTATAATGTTGTCAAATGCTGAGACGAAAATACTACCAATTTACTTCTCCCTCCGGTCCTTATTATAAGTCATTTGATTTCATTCTAGGTTTAATCTAAAATGTCTTTTTAATTAGTAAAAAAAACTTTAAAAATATATTTTCACATTCGTTGTATTTTTCTTATTATTATGAAATATTTTTAAAGTTTTTATTTGAATTAAAAAGACATCTTAAATTAAACGTAAGACGAACTCAAAATGCCTTATAATAAGGACCGGAGGGAGTACAGTCGATGTTTCTCTTTAGCTTTCTCGGTTCCATAACGATGAGCTTGAATTGCTCAGGGAATCTGGATTCCCTTTTACTTACAAAACGTACGTCCTTACATTCACAATTTACAACCTTAAATACTAATCGAGTCCAAAGAAACCCCCAAAAAAAAAAAAAAGAAAAAGAAAAAGAAAAAGATAATAACTCCGACTTGATACAGTATGTCCAAACCACAGTTCGCTAAACAATGTCTTCCCACTCCTCCTCTAATATCAACAAACTCAAGTGGAACTCTCTTTATGCACACAATCAATTTAACCATCAAAGATAACATATGACCGAAATCAAATTTAACACAATTGCACAAACACCATTCTCCAACCCCAAACAGATAGCCTTCTGAGTACCAAAACAAAGCCGATAGCTAGAAACTTCACTAGTTGGAAAATAATGATATCGATACAAACTTGTAATCTACATCAATTGGAAAAATAACACAATATTAAGGGTGAATCGGCAAAGAAGGGGGAACCGAAACCCACCTTCATCACCGATGGGAGTGATATTCAAAACTTGGAAGAAAAAAACAAAGAACTGAAACCCACCATCATCATCGATGGCGGTGATTTCGGAAACCCACGAGAGAAAAAAAAAAAAAAAGAATCATTATATTCGGAAGGAGACGGCGACCTTTTGGGCCGTTTCGGATAAGTTCGGAGTGGCTCAAGTCGGATAATCTAAAACTTACAAAGATGAAAATTAATCGATTAAGGTGTAAGGGACTCAATAAAACGTAACTGTTTTTGTTTCTTGACAGGAACGAGAGATTATTCAGTGCAGTTACTGTAGCACGTAGGATTATGTAGATACAATAATATGATAAAATAGTAATTTTGGAAGAAGAGAGATAATTTCTACAAAAATTATACTACTTAGATAAGAGATGCTAGTACTTGTTGCAGTAAAACTCAGGATATAACAGCTGTACCTAATAATTTTTCGACAGGAACTTACAGGAAAATTGTTTACGGAGCAGAGGATCCCGTCTGGAATTTTGCTATTTCTTCACATAATAGATTTTCAAAATGCGGAGTAGACATAAGTTTTGTCTCGTGTGCGGGCCTATTACCTTTCATGGGCTTGTGGATCATGTTTGTCGGCAGCTCATTTTTTGCCAAGGCCCAAATTTTCAATGGTTTTTTTCTTTCGTTAATTGTTATTATTGTTATTATTTCTTTAATTTTAAGTTTTTTTGATTCAATTGCAAGTCTCTTCCCTGTTCTCTTCTTCTTCCTCTTTTTTTCTCCCTTCTTTCTTTGATTATTCTTTGTTGAATGGGAATCCTTTAAGATTCTTATTTTGCACTGTCATTCAATATTCTCTTCAGATATAACTTCCAACTTCAGGTATTAGAAAATTAAGTCTGATCACTTAAACTTCGGAGGCAACCAACTGCTCGTACTGGTTAAAAGAAATCTAGGTAGGGAGATTAGCGCTTCTGAGTTGAATCTTGATCTTCAGCAAGAACCCAGATCAATATAAAGGTAGCAGAAGAAAGTTCGGACATGATTCTGGAGAAGAAAAGATTTCATTTTCTTCTCTTCGTTGTTGGGATAATTGCTCTTAGCATCACTGGTAATTTCCTCTTTTTTTTTTTTTTTGGTTCTTATTATTGAAGCCCCTTTGGGGCAAAATTAGTGAATTAGATCAAGAATTTGCCTTTTAGTTCAACCATTGCTTACTGTGGAAGCATACGCGTTGATTTGTGCGTATGGGTAAGTTATTTTATGGATGTGAAATTGTTTAACCTCCAGCTGGTAGTTGATTTTCACACGCTTTGATTCTCATTGTCCACATTAACATGATATGCTGTAGTTATTGGACATTTCTTTTGATCTTGAGGAGTTGGAAGTTTATATGATGTTTTGGAACTGATTTCCATTTCAGAAGTTCTACTTTTGAGGGTTAGGACTGGAAAATTAAGACGGGTTATCTTCATTTTTGTAAATTAACCGTAAATTTGGTTTTGTAATTATGATATGCTTCTTCTTCTGTTATACTTTTCGGTTTTTTCCCTTGAAACTGCACGTTTGAGTTCACATTGTCAAGACCTGTTAGAATGAGTTATTTTTGAGGAGTCACATGTATGAGACCTTCTGTTTCTGCTTGTTCATTTCTTTTGTGCTTTCAGTTTCAGTAATTAGTATGAGTAAGTTACTTATATGTTACTTAATTTTACGATGACTGGTAATCTGGAGGGGAACAGAAACTCCATGTAGCCTTTGATGTATTATGTACTAGTTTCTTTTTCTTTGCTGGATATTGGAAGCTTAAAATACGAGAATGTGACACTTGCAAGTTTTGAGATGAGAGCAGCTTGAGTGCTTCACAACAAGACATATGATATCACTTCATTAGAACTGCCTTTCAACTCATTGTTCTATAATGGAATGTGATAGTCATGGGAGTTAGGTCAAAATTAAATAGAAATTAGTGTATTTTCTTAAATTTATTCGTTGCAGCTAGACTTTGGCCCAGAATAACCACAACCTACTAGAGAGTTATGTTCGGGGAGAAAATTCAAGAGGGAGTCAAGATGATATAAATTCAGTTACGCTTGGTGCATTTGGACTTCCCTTTTGAGTTACTTTTCTGAGATGCTTATGTGTGGTTGAACATTGTCTGAAAAATAAGACTGTTGACAGTCTATAGTTCATGCCTTTTCAGTTGTTCCATTTCATCTAATCTTGTCCTGAGTGATTTCAATCATGCCCCCTGTTGTTTGCTCTCAAGCTTACTTGTCTGCGTTTCTCAATTAGATGACTGGGAACAATACGTGTTTTATTTTTCTCCCAGAACTTTTGGGAGTTGAATTTCCAGTAAGATTTTCCAATCCCAGACTCTGAAGAGTTCATGATGCTGTGAAACTGGATTTTGTTGTTACTCCTGTTATTCTCTGGAGCTTTTATTTTATTTATGTTATTGTCTGTAAGACTAGTTGTAGACATCTGGTTTGGGTTTCAGTTATTAGAAACGAGACATAGATGATTCAGCAGCATTTTGTATGGGTGGTAATTGGCTTGTGAACTGTTGGAGCAATAAGAGGATCGCCTACGTGATTCCTAACTATATTTTTCAGCTATGCCTTATGCAATTCAAGCTTTTTTCATTGGTTCGTGATAGTAGAAATGGTCTTGATAATTGAACTGTTCTGTAGCACGAGAGGTTTGATTCGGGAATTTTGAGAAGATTGGATTATATATATAGCTGCGTTTTAGTCTCTACTCTTTAGTATATTGTTTTGGCTGAATTTACTTAATTGTTTCTTGATCTTCCATATTTCTCCTTTCTCATCTTTCTTGGTAGAGAACGTTTGATGTTTTGCTCTTTTGCAGCTGAAAAATGCCGTGAGTTGGTTGGCAAGGAGGCTGCTTCCAAGAGTGGGGAGTTTACCTTCTTGAATTGTTTTGATGGGAGTTCTGGAACTTTAGCATGCTTGGTAAAGGAGGGTGTGAAGCTATACTCTTACAGTATCAGATCTTTTCATGTCGAAGGGGCAAGAAATAAAGCTATAGAGGCTGCTTTGGCTGATGCTCTATCACAAGGTCTGGATGCAAAAGCTGCTGCCAAGCTAGCCCAGAAAGAGGGAGCAAAAGCTGCTAAACTGGCAACTCGAAAAGTGAAGCGGGTCGTGGGTCCTATCATTTCTTCTGGATGGGACTTCTTTGAAGCATTGTACTTTGGTGGCACCATTACAGAAGGTTTCCTGAGGGGCACTGGAACCTTGTTTGGGACATATGCAGTTGGTTATGTTGGAGAGGAAAGGTTTGGGAGGGTTGGTTATCTCTTGGGGAGCCATTTGGGCAGTTGGATTGGGGGAAGGATTGGGTTAATGGTCTATGACGTGGTTAGTGGAGTGCACGTCTTGCTTCAGGTGTCTCAGTCAGTGGAAACAAAGGTCAAGAACCACATAACAAATGAGGTTTATGTGAGTTCTACTTTTGAAACTTCTGAAGCGCAAGAAGAGTCATATGTCTCAGAAAGACCATCATATAGCAGTGACGAAAGTGGTTCTGAAGCATCAGAAGAGCCAGCATTTACCAGTTCTGAAAGCAGTCCTGAAGCGCCCCAAGATTCGTCACATGTGAACGATGAAGGCAGTGCTGAAGTACCCGAAGATTCTTCTGTACCGGATACACCTGTGGATATGAGTTCCTATGCTTCAGAAGAAACCACTGTAGATGATGAAACTTTTGAGGGTGACAATTCTGAGGTGTTTGAAGAACTCTGAATGAAAGCAATCATACAGCACAGATTAAGGTTACGGTTAGTCCCATGTTCATTTGTTATTGTAGTGGAATATTTCGGCACTCCCTTTAGTACAAAAGTCCATGTTCATAGTGAGATTCAGTGAGTATTCTTGAAGCTGAATTTTAGTGTGCTATAGTAGGCATCGGCGCTTATTTCTTACTCTAAAAGGCTAGTGTAGCAAAGATAGTTACTAGACTTTATCTATGGATTTCACACAAACCAATGGAGAGTTCATTCTGTTGGAATGATAGTTTTGAAATCATCAAAAATTTCAAGCGTGTATTTGATTTCATTGAGTGCACGTAAGGCAGTAGTGTTTGTGATTAGTTAGATACAGAACTTCGATAACAGATTGGTAGATGAAGGGAGTGGAGTTAGGTTGAGTTTATACTTCTTAATTTAGTGGCTCTGTTTGTCATGCTAGAAAGGCTAGGAAAATTCAAACCTTTTATTTTATTTTATTTTATTTTTTCCTTTTGAGCAATTGCAATAATTTAAGTTCTTAATTTCTGTGGAAGCAGATCATATAATTATGAACGAGGATAAGATTACAATTTATAGCGCCCTCATATTGGGAATTTAACTTGGAAAATCTTTGCTATCTGATGCGCAAATGGCCTATCGTTTTCCCTGATGAGGGTTCTGGCCTTTGCGGCCTTTCTTTATCTCTTCAGATGGCCGCCGCGAAATTGACTTGAACGAAAGCAACATGCAATAAAGTTTGCAGGTGGTCGTTAAGATATACTTTCTCTGTTTCTTTCTGTCCCAAAATGATTATTATATCTTAGTTTAAATTTTCATTTTTAGTAATATTTCGGAACCAAGTATATATATATATATACATATAAAGCTGTCGGGTTTAACAGTATCATTTTATGTGCATTCCACTATTCATGTAACGTACTGGAGTTCGACACCATTTCATGACCCCAAATTCTCTGTTGAATATGACTTGACCTTGCTTTTGATCAAATTTCTGGGTGTGTGGTTGTAATGCAAACTTATCATGAAAAAATGCGACCAAGTTAAGGTCGAAAATTGGTATGGTATGGTATGGTTGATTATTATAGCAACTCCTTCAAAGGATTAATAAAAATTTAATTTAATTCTTGCAATGTCAAATATCTTTATTTTATTTTATTTTTCACTTATCTTTTAATGTAAACTTGTTTATGCGATAACTCTATACTCGAGTAGAATAAGGTAAGATTATCTAACTGCTGGTTGTAGAAAATAATTGGCCAATGAACCCCCCAACTTCCATAAATGAAAAGTAGAAAAAAAAAGAATTTCAAAATGACCAAACATAGATATTTTTTTTTGGCCAAAAACAAAAATGTATATGCTTTGACCACTGTTTATATATGGTGGTGATGGAGCCTTGCTTTTCTGCGAGTGGTTGCAAATGTTTAATGGTTTAGAAACCAGCCAAAAAAAAAGAAAAAAAAAGAAAAGTGTTGAAAGTCGGGGTCGAGTAGTCGCGTTAATTAGTTCTATGATGGGGTTATCCATCCATATATTTAGGGTTGAAACTTGCCATAAATTGACCCTCCAAGAATAAACTGCCATTTCATGTCCTCATAAATTGTGTTCAGCATTTCAATCACCTTCTGGACGACTGTTGAAGCATGTGACAGCAGAAAATTGAAAAAAAAAAAAAAAATCTAACCCATTCGTCCGAATTCCTACGACTCAACTAAAGGATCAGAAACTATACATATATCCGAAAATATGTAAAAAAAAAAAAAAATCTTTATTGAGATGTAACTTGCGAGCTTTAATTAGGTTTTCGGCCATCACTTATACCTATCTTCTCGATTAAATTTGACAATAATATCTAGCATGTGATTAGTGAATTGTCAGCAACTTATCTGGACTTTGTTATATTGTTTCTCACCAATAATTCTCAATGACGTGTCAAATTTTAATTAGATGGTTCAGTCAAAAACTTAAATTTAATCTCAGAATTTCCCTATATTTATTTGTTTTTTTTTTTTGGTGGAGAGAGGGAAATATGTGTCATCATTTTGTGTATCTCTCTTTTCCTATTCACATACATAACTCATCAACGATCAAACTCAAAGAAAAAAGACGGTCCAATTGATGCCCAGCACTAACAAAAGAAGAAGAAAAGCAGAGATGTATATATTCTTTTTACTAGCACCGTTGAAGTTTGAAGGTAAATTAAAAAGGCAAAGAAGAAAGCTCAAGAAAGAGAAAAAACAAAGAAAAGAAAAACACAATGGCGTAAAACTTCTGTGTCTGAGTAATTAACTACTTCTCCACAATTTATACTTTCATCAACTATGCTTGGCATATAAAGGGAGAATACTGTTTTCAGCCAACCGTTTGGTATACAATTATGGGTTTAGAGAATGGTTTCTGGCTCATCCTTTCAAAACCATTTTAAAAGTAAATGATTTAGTTCATGAAAGATACAGCAGTGTTAGCTGATGAAGAATTAAAATTAATTTCGTATGTTAAGGGTCTTAATCAATATAGTCATTTCAAAAGTCATGGCACTAAAACAATACAGAAACTCTCAAATTTTTCCTCTTTTGTAAAATATAAGAAAAACGAAACCCTTGAAAACCATAACTTGTCTGATTTTGATGCTTATTCATATGATCATATTCATATCCACATGGATCCTTCAAAAAGTTCGAACATAAACACAAGTTCCTTTCTTTTAATTTTGTGGCTACCAACGTTATTTTCAAATTTTTTTTTTATTTTTTATTTTTGACAACCAAAGGAATCTATTTCACGCTTTAATTTCAAGTTTAATAGGTTGTCGAGAATCTAATATCTAGCAACCTATATAACGCACTTTTCTAATTAGTTTCTTGTGTTTAAGGTTACTAGTTACTAGTTACCGCCCAAATTCAATGAGCGGAATCTATATATATATTTTTATAAAAAAGAAAAATTCACCCAATAAACCCTACATAAATATGGGTAAAATTCTTCTAACAAAATCTCTCGTAAAAATCAAACCCTAATTTATTACCAAAAAAGACAATATTCTAACCACCAGCCTATCATATATGACCAACTAGATCATGCATTTCTCCTTGTACTATTTTTTCAGTTAATCTTATGAAATAAACCCTCAGCGCAGCTGATATTTTCGATTATTATTCAACGTAAAACAATTTGGTTGTCACGATGAAAAAGTGATATCAAAAGACAAACAAAAAAGAAGGCTGTCTTCCATGTGGAGACCCGCAGCTGCGAATCCAAATAATAATTCCATTGTTGCAAGATTAAAAAGTGCTGTCTGAATGTACGTACCAAAATGCAAAGGGGGAAATGGGGAATGTTGTCACAATAGCGCCAGAATTTGCAAGATTTAGCTTATCAATGCTATAGAATGAAATAGTAACATTCAGAAAGTAATAAAATAATGTTTAAGGTGTGGACATCATGGAGTTACAGTTACTACTTCTCTGTCTCTCTTTAGCTAGCTAATCATGCAAACATGCATCATTTAATTTCCCAAGACAAGCAGCCTTTTTGGTTCTATTTTTATCTTCAATAATTAATCTGCTTTATGTCCCTATTCTCTCTTCGGTGTCAATCTAGTCAGAAATTATACATGAGTTTAAAATTCATGAGGGTAGATTGAGAAATAAATTGTCTTACCTCCGTCCCAAAAAAATAATTCACTTTAAATTTTGAGTTTTATATTGATTTTAGTATAATTTTAAATTTTAATGTGCATTATTTTTTTGAAATGGAAGGAGTATGTGTTACTCACTCACTTGAATTTTTTTTAAGAAAAGGACTTGATCGAGTCAGATAATTCAAAGATAAACCCATACATAAAAAAATAGTCAGATAATTCTTTTTAGGTGTCTTTTTTTGAAAAATGTATACTCACACCTTCTCGGTTTGTCCCATCATAATATTCATATTTATATACATTTTTTTTTTAATTCATGAAAAGCCATGATTTGTAAATTTTAAACTTCTCTTCTTTAATTATTTTAAGTGATTGCTGAGCTATTCGCTAGCCATCGAATCTGGATGGAGATCATACATTAGTTTAAAATGAATAAGAGATGTTAAAAATTTATGAGGCTCGATTAGGAAGTAGATTGTATCTGGTACGTGTCCATTTGAAATAAAAGAATGAATTGAGGAGCAAGATATACACTAGTTTAAATGATAGTTTTCTCTATAATTAAGCATAAGGACATATGAAATTTTTATTAGGGTGTCACTTTTTGACAATGTAACTTCACCTTCTACCACATAATAATATTATATGCATTTGTTTTTATTCACGAAAGCCATGTTTTGTATATTTAAACTTATCTGCTTTAATTATTCAAGTTTACATCTGATCTGTTTGCTAGCTATCAGATCTGGTCGAAAACCATACATAAGTTATAATTAATAAAGAGAGTTTAAAGTTCATCTGACATATTGTAACTCTTTTTCCTAAAAAAACTTATTAATTGTAATAAAAATAATACAATTCACAAATTACTACGTGGGATTATTCATTTTGAAATGAAAGGAAGGAATACATATTACGTACCTGCAGCTTGAAATAATAGTCTTCTAATTTTTTGTTCCATAATATTATCATGTTTGTATGCATTTTTTTTTCTTGACGGAAAGGCCATGTTTTGTATATTGAAACTTATATGTAAAGAAAAATTACAAGGGATTAAATCACTGTTCACCTTTACACCACACTGTTGGGGTTTATATATCCATTTAAATTCTTTTGGAAAAAAGAAATCATCTCAATGAACCAACTTAAATGTGAAAAAAAATTCCTTAAATTTCTTGGTAGAAATTGAACTTGGGTTTATCTCCAAAAGCACAATACCCTAACCACTAACCTTACATATATCCATTTAAAAGTGAAAAGTTTCGATTTTGATTGCATTTATCATTCCTTACAAGTTTATACATATTGGTTTTTTTTTTTTTTATTTTATGAATCACTATTATTTTAATTTAATGCAAGAAATGAAATGTTTGACGTACATGAATAAATCGAGGCATTAACTAAAGAAATCTATTGCAGTTTTGTTAATATTCATCTCAAAATGATTATTTAATTTTTATAATTTTTAATATAATACATTAATATAACAATCATTTTAGAGGGAATGAGTATAATTTTCGGAGACAATCAACAACGATGAGATTAATGACCAACCTAAGCAGCCAAAATTTACCTAATTAAATGCTTCCTCGAAAAATAAAAAAGAAAAGAAAGAAAAATGAAAACCAATATATATTGATAGCGAGTACTTTAACCTTGTCAAAGCGTTCGTTTGGTAGTTTAAGATTCTTTTGATTCATTTGGTTCGTAAATTATTTTCCCCGAAGCCATGAAGATGTAGTACAATGTTATAGTACTAGTAGTACTAAAAAAAACACACACACACACACACAAAAGGTACTGATCAATGTAACAAGATCACTGGAATATGCATCTTTTTCTCCTACTGGAGATCGATGGTATAACATGCAAATGAAAGGACGTTGAAGGAATACGGTTCTCCATATTTTTGTGATGACGCAAAACTTTGGCTTACGAATGACTACATTATTGAATTCAGTGCTAAAATGAATAGCTCACAAATTAGTACCCTCTCTGTTTCGGATCATCAAATAATAATCCACTTTGTTATACAGCTTAAATTCAACAAAGTGAATTATTTGTTTTAGAAAGAGATTGAGTTGTACTTCTCAAATGAAATGTGAACAAAGTAACAGAAACGAATCTAACGCAGGCGCATCCAATAAGAAAAGCCACGACCCTGTAATATTGCCATTGATACTGTATGGACTCATTACAATAAAAATAGGCTATTAATATCTTTATAATAGGATACTTTTTCTAAAATGTGTCTCTTTATATGTGTATTAGAACATTTGCTAAAAAGTGTCTTATTAAAAATGAAAAAGTGTATGCATATTATGAAACATTATCATAAGTGTACTATGTGGGGCTGCTTGTGAACTATTATCCTACTTAATGGGTCACTTTAAAGTGTCTTAGTAAGTGATAATCTAATAGTACACTTTCAAATGTTTTATGACTTCTTGTGACTCGATTATAGGAAACACTATTTAGTAGTGTGCCACGCAATGTAAATCACATGTGTCCTATTACACCACTTATTGAGACATAAAAAAGTGTCTAAACTACTCATTTTTGTTGTAGTGACTAAGTGTTCGAAATTTTAAATAACGACATAAGTAATATTTCTTAAGTGACAATCAAAGTATTAATTTGTCTACTTCCACTTCCGACCATAACTTGTAAGAGAAAAAAGGTTATAAGATTTACCCTTAACTTGTAAGTCCCGGAATTGTTTTTGTTTGAAATGCACATGTCCACTTATTGCCCTTGATGATCTTGCAAGTTCTTGTATAGAACGTGAGTTAATTGAATTATGCATTTTTAACCTAACACCAAAAATGATAATTTTCTTGTCTCACAAAAATAATCTATTACCAAAAATGATAATTTCTTTATTTCAGAAAAATCATCTATTTTGTTGAATTAAAATAATACGTTCAAGTGATTTTTTTTTTTAGAAGGAGAGAATACGAAGGAGTTCTACATATCAGATCGTGCGTCTTCCACTAATTAATTATAGTGTTTTCCGTTTGTGATTAAACACAACTTTCAATTAATGAATCTTAAACTTCATAAAATTATGCTATCAAAATGACACAAAACTTCTAAACAAAAGAGTTTTTTTTTTTTGAAATTACGACGGACTGGAAATTGACAATTTTTTATATGTGGAAAATCGCTGAGGACCACAATATACATACTATAAATATACTTGCACGCAACGACTTTATTATACTTCAGTAGGACAAATAAATAAATCAATTAAAAATGCTACACCAAGTGTGAACACGAAGGATGCCAAAGCTTGTAATTAGACCGTTTTAAGTGATTCGTTATATATATATATATATTGTCATCGAATCAAGTAATAATAATATAATTTCATACCTTTGATGACCAGTGTGAAACCATACGAAGTTAGAGAATCTCTTAACCTTAATTTCAATATCACATAAATCAATTAATAGGAATATAGAAATTTATCCATCGATTAATGAATTTATTCGTAATGTGTTTTGCACAATCATTTTGTAAGTGATTTTAAATTTTTTTGCTTAAGTAATCCATCAACTAGCTATATGTAGCCTCCTTGCATGAAAATTGTCTTCCACCTCTTATTATTCAGATTTCCCCTTTCTAACCATGTTAAATTATGAAACTGTCACATTTGAACATTAATTGTATTTCATAATTTTACAATAAATATGACTTTTATTTTAAGACAAAAAAGATACACACATAATTATATATATTTATAGGGCTCGATCGGATGCCTCTTCCAGCCTAGAAATCACAAACGCTTTTCGTTTAAATTTTTTTGATGAAGAATTTTGCTAATCTAGCTAGCTACACATTACAACAAATCAACTTAACTAAAATGCACTATTTTTCTTCCCCAGCTCGCTGATTAAAACATATTTGAAGTCCCTATCCCCAACCCCCCAAAAAAAAAAAAAAACACCAAGGAGAATAAAAAGCATTCACATTTGATGTGATCATGCATGTTATATACGTCATATGAGCTTTATAGGAATTGATTAGAAACCAAAAATAAAAAATAAAAAATCAAACGTCAATGTAAGATGCCTATGAATCTAGTTTGAAAGAATTAGATGGCTTTCGGAGTGTGGCAGCCATGAACTTGCAATTTTAACGCTGCGGAAAACTGATTTAAACCACCATACGCTGATTGACACCATTTCTAGTTTCTACCAGGTGTTAGATTATTAAACAAACCCTTCTATGCCAGCGGTCCACTACACATCCAATTCAATATTCCTATTATCGTTTTCCAAATTCCAAGTCAGAGAAGTATATTTTTTGAAAGTTTCTGTTGTATTTAATGAAAAGGAAAGAGATAAAAAAAGATCCTGCCAAAAAAAAAAATTAGATAAAATTATCTTTGTTCTCAATTATTGGTCGAAAATTCGTTTCCTTTTAAAGTGATACCTTCTTTAAAACGAAAAAGAAATCTGGATGGATCGCTAAGGTCAAAGGTAGTGAAAGCTACTGGAAAGGTTAATATTGGCCACATGCATTTGCACTACCAAAGGACATACAACACTTTTTTTATAATTTGGATAAAGTGCAATGGAAGATATGTAATTAATAAACAGGACGGTATCTTTAAATAATTTTTATCAAGGACATTATAACCTCACTTCCAAACATGACTTTAACTTTTCATCTAATTAATTTTTATCTATTTTAATTTTTCACAAGCAAATTCAAATCTACGTGCAAAGTTTAAATTTGATAATATATTAATCTACAAAATTAAAAAATGTTATAGGACAAAAGAAATAATTACATTATTTAAAACACAGTGGTTAATTGTTCACAATTTGGAAGATTCATTTTTATTAAATAATACTCTCTCCGTCCCACGAAAATAGTCTACATTGAGTTTTTATTAAAAACAGTACAAAACTCAAAACTCAATGTGGACTATTTTTGTGGGACGGAGGTAGTAACATTGATATTTAAAATAGACAAATTTTATCTTTTTAATATGAACTAAGTTTTAAATGATCTTGTAAAAAAAAAAAATTACAAAAACTTGTGGTTAATTGAACCGTTACAACAAATTTTGTAAAACTTCATTAATCTATTTTGTACTTTTATGTCACCAAAATTTTCTAAAAATATAATAAATAAAAATTGTAAATATTTATTTTGAACTATGAGTATACGTATAGATGTAATATTTATAGTCACGTATATAATACTATAATACTCACAAAAAAATATATATCTTGAATTAAAAAACTTTCAAATTTATTAAAGGTAAAAAAATAAATTTGTTTGAAAAATATAACTAAAGTCATGTTTGGAATTGGAGTTTGGTGCACCCTTAACACAAATTATTTAAAAGTACTACTCTATTTATGAATTATTTATCCTTTACCATTCTTTATCCAAATTTTCTCTTTTTTTTTTTTCATATTGCAGGATGTCTACCGTCGGTAATAGTGACTAATCCCCTCGCTCATGGTAAGAACCTCGATGGGTGGGAGAGCTGGCAAAATGATTAAATATTGCTTCATACTCATGACGAGATTCAAACTCTCGACCTATAGTTAAGAGTGAAGGACATATGACATTGATCATCGATCAAGAATGACTATTTCTTGTCTCACTGGTAAACAATTACTTTTCTGTTTGAACTTCAATGCTGAAAAGATGAAATATACCTCAGTCCAATTTTTTTTTAAAACTATTTATGCTCGGTAACTAAACAATGTACATAAATACATAAACAACATATCGTGTGATAGATACAAAACTAATATTACATACATGATGAAACACAGTAAGTTAATTATTAATTAATGGACCCTGCTTCTAGCTTTATAACGAAAAGGAAAACCTCGTCTGTACAGCATAGGCTGTAATAGTGTAATGGTTAGAGTTTAGCATTGGGATTGACAGTTTGTTCACAAATTTCAAGACTAACTTACCTCAGATTCTTAAATATTCCTATCAAGCCCTAGTTTGTATTTATTGAAACAATCTATGTCAGCAAAAAGCTTATTCTTCAAAAGTACTGTAATGAGATAGATGGTAAAACACGTCTAATGAAATTGATTTACAAGATACTCTACGTCTTCACTGTAAAAAATAAATTAAAAAAATAGAGATTTTTTTTTTTTGAATTACTTCAGTTTTACAAATATTAATGGTTGTACTCTTTCCAATTAAAAAAGAAGAAGAAGAAAAAAACTGTGGTCTAATCAGAATTAAGCATACTAATAACACAAAAAATAAAAGAAAGTTGGTTTGTATAAGTTTTCTTATAAACTAAAAATTAAATGATTAAGAAGATTACCAATTAATTATAAAAATATGGGGGCCTAGAGCAGCATGTTCCATCCCTTCATTAGCATGAAGGGTCCCCACAAAATGTCAATAAATAGCGACCCTGAAGATGGAACACTGGCCTGCAAGTAAAACAGTGTGAGAATTCCGAGATCATCGTTATAATCTTTTGTTTTCTTGAAAAAACACAAACCCTTTATATTATTAATAATTGTTGTTCTTCTTCTTCGTTTGTCTTCCCCTTAACCTCATTGTGTCGACATGGTTTGCCAGAAAGATGCTTTGGTTCAGACAATCTCGGAATTGTATGACCAAATTTCATCCCTTGAGAGCTTAAGGCCTTCCAAAGATGTCGACATGTTGTTCACACAGCTTGTTCTCACGTGTATCCCACCAAATCCAATTGATGTCACAAAACTATGCAACAAAATTCAAGAAATGAGGTCTAAGCTCATCAAACTCTGTGGAGTCGCTGAAGGGCTTCTAGAGATGCATTATTCCACAATCTTAGGCAATTCTTTTGGTGGTGTTGATGGTGAAAACCCTCTTGACCATCTCACCATTTTCCCTTATTACAATAACTACCTTAAACTCAGCCTCCTTGAATTCAACATCCTTAGTCAACACATCACTAACATCCCTAACAGAGTTGCTTTCTTGGGTTCTGGCCCTTTACCTCTCACTTCCATTGTTTTGGCCAAGAATCACCTCACTCAGACTTCCTTCCACAACTATGATATCGACCCGATGGCGAATGCCATGGCCTCGAAATTGGTCGCGTCTGACTGTGACTTGTCGCGACGGATGTTTTTCCACACTCGTGATGTGTTGGATGTTACTTGTGAATTTAAGGATTTTGATGTCGTGTTCTTGGCCGCTTTGGTTGGCATGGATAAGGAAGCCAAACTCGGGTTTATCGAGCATTTAGCAAAGAACATGTCCCCCGGTGCGATTTTGATGCTCAGGAGTGCTCATGGAGCAAGGGGTTTCCTCTACCCTATTGTTGATCCTTGTGATTTGAAGGGTTTTGAGGTGCTTTCTGTGTTTCATCCCACGGATGAGGTGATTAATTCTGTGGTTATTGCTCGAAAGCTTCCGGATATGGCAACATTGATGCCTCTTATGCCTTCTAGCAACAATATTCATTGTGGAGGAAATCATGTTATTCTTCCATGCAAATGTGCTGATCTTCAAGGCTTTAATCCACTTAGCAAACTGAACATGATTGAGGAATTGGCAGCTGATGATCGTCTTGTGTGAAAGATCAACTCATCATCATGTATAAGTATATCATCATCTCGACCTCACTTATTTTGCTTGGGGAAAGATTGTTATTGTGTGTTGTTTCCATCTAGGATTTTTCATTACCCCTTTAATGTTGTTCTCTCTGTTGATCCCTAGCTAACCATTTCATAAAATCCATTCGGAAAAAAAAAAGATGAGAGTTAGTAAAGAGCTAGCCCGGCCCTTGGTATCTTGATGTATTGATCTGATCAAGAAGCAACAAGAGTGGCCTCTATATTGTTATTATCCCTTGTCACTAAAGTTTGTACTCTATATTTCTGTGTCAACCAATATATATGAGTTCCAATGGATGGTGTTTATGAAATAAAAATTTTCTACTTTTATTTTCATTGCTCACTTTGTTTCGTGATAACGGTATTGTTTGTTGAACTAATTAACAGGATGCACGATGGTTGTGATGTGAATTAACTCTTTACTTTGTTTCGTGATAACAGTATTGTTTAATTAATTAACAGGACGAACTATGGCGATGATGGTACCAAATGTGCAGATTTTTTTGGTTTTAGAAGGTAAGAAAGAAAAAAAAGGAAATGGCCTTATTTGGCTAGCTATGTCAAGAGCCACATATATCTAGGCGGTGGCAAGATTTTGATGATATGATGCCGATTGCCTTGTTTTCTGTTCCTCTTGTTTCGATGTGTGGATTTGTTCGATGCAATAATTGATGTAATTAATTGTCTTTGTGCAAAACTGTAGAGATAACAAGTAGTAGTAGAACAAAGGGAAGTGTTCAGAACCCCATACTATTCCACCAATTTGCACATATATTTGGAATGTCAATCATATTGAATAGCAGCAGCGCTATCGCCACCTCTACTTTTTTTTTGCACTTCTTTTACAACTCACTTTTCTATATCAAGCGTAAAATCGAACTGTTCTCATTTGACTTGTGCTTAAGTAACCTTTGTAGTTCACCAAAAGTGGTTTTACTATTTGTTGTTTCATGAGCCTGAAGTTAGTTTGTCGCACAAAATGAAGTTCAAATGCATATGTCATTTTTCGTGTATAAACTGTATCTTTCATGAGTGAACGAATTAGACTTCGTTAAAAAACAGCGTTTATTTATTTTATCTTTTTTTTGGGCATCTTTGGTTCACCTTTAGTATATTAACGGGGAAGTTAACCGTTTCCGAGCTTGTTTAATTAACCCCGGACTAGTGATTTAGGCTTTTAGCCTCTTTTGATGAAGGTCAATGTTATATATGGGTTTTCCATATTCTTCCTTTTTAAAATGATTATCGTATTTATATGTTCTTTTCATTCCGAAATTATCAGCTCGACGGATCTTGAATTCAATAATATCTGTCACACCCCTCACCTCACCTGGAAGCTTGAATAAAACAAAATGAGTACTGTGTATATTTTTTGTTGCATCCGCCAAAATTTTCGTTTTCATGTCGCCATATTTCCCTTCTCATATCTTGTATCACTAGTTGCCCTTGAGAACGATATATAATGCATATTTAATTGATTTGACTTGATGCCTTTACAACTTATAGGTAGGGAAAAATGAGTGGTGTTTCTTGGTGAGGAACTAATTCGGGATACAAGATATATTCGGTGCTCCATAAGTGACTGATAGTAATGAGACCCCAATTGATCAAGTTATGCCTTGCATAGTTGCATGTGAGCGAGATTCAGAGGGAAGAAACTAATGAGCAACGATTGAAGTATATTTTTTTTTCTGAGAAACATTAATTTATCTTTATTGAATTTGGAGTAATTACAGCAGTGACTTTCGGAAAGAAAATGTAATAATATAAAAGAAACCAAAAAAAAAAAAAAAGAGTACCAAAAAGAATGGGTGAACCAACACTTTAATTATATCGTAATCTTCTATTTTAGCGAAATTTCAAGGGATTAATTTATAAGGAATTTTTTTTTTTTTCGGTTGTTTTTGCGTACGTAGTTCCATCATTTGTATTTTCAGTTTTGTTATGTCAATAAGAATTACAGAATTTCTGTATGATAACGTAGACCTTAGGCAAGCGACTTCTACATGCAGCTGATTTCTTGAGTTATATCATAACTTCATGAATATGTACATGTTGAGATACAGAGAATACATGCATACAGTAGCATAGTTTGTTTGAGGGGAAAAAAAAATTATCCCGAGATTTTAAGTTTCGTTTGATTAATGGTGCGGTTTTCATTGCAATTCAGTTTATTGATGTTTATTTGCATCATTGTTAAATTTCTCAGGATGCGATGACGCTTTAGGTGTTGCTTTGTAGTAGATCGATAAATTAATAATCGATACATTAATAATATTCATAAATTAATAATTTTCTCCGTTCTCAAGTCGGGACCAGTACAAAAAACAAAGACAAATCGATAAAATAATAAGATAATAATTTTTCAAAAACTCCCTATGTAAATATAGGTTCCCTCAATATCATAAATTAATAATGACTTGAAAAAAAAAGAGCTAGTAAAATATGAATTTAGCAATGTTTATTTTTTCTTGAAATTTATATATAAAGAAATAGTAGATGCTATGAATTTTTTTAATGATTTATCGAGTAATTGATGAGAATTTAAAGATTTCTCATAAAAAAATTAAATCTCTTTTAATAGAGACATGTTATGTAGACTGAGCAGTTGATAAAATTTAAGATGATGGTGGAGTCTAAATTCTAATGCATAGGGGATATAAGGGAATAAAAGAATATAAATTTTATACGGCTAAGCTTAAAAGATTAATTTGATTTTTTGGAATTTTCTTTAAATTAATATTATTAGTTCATCGATAAATTAATAATTATTAATTTATCGATAAATTAATAATTTTTCGGGGTCCTAACCATATTAATTTATAGATGTTTCACTGTACATAGCTTGACGATTTATGTTTATAATTAGTACTGAATTCTAAAAGAATAATACTTTCTCTGTCATAAAAATGATTATCATATTTGAATTTTTATTTTTAGTAAAAATCAAAGAGGTACTATGTATATATGGAAACTTTACTCTCTTAAACCCCGGCCAAAGTACAGCTAAAATGTATGTACAACTTACATCCTTATGAATTACTCCCTCCGTCCCATAATTATTGTCCAGTTTTACTAAAATAAAAGATTTTATTTTTGGTCAAATTTAACTATATTTTAGTTTAAACAACCGGATATACCCCTACATAAGTAATTGTTTAAACACTAAGATTTTGTGAATAATGTTTTGTACTAAGGACAAATGTGTAACTTGATCCATAAAAAGTCAAATTGGACAATAATTTTGGGACAAAATTTTTTGATCAAAGTGGACAATAATTATGGGACGGAGGGTGTACATACCTATAATTAAGTTACATCCTTTCCATTATAGTCTCTACTCTCTCTGTTACTTCTGAATCAATTCTTTTTTATTTTTCAATTCTATGTTTAGCAAGCGGTGAATTTTAATCTCACAAACACACAATAGAAAAAAGACAAAAAAAAAAGAAGAAAGAAAAGTTGAATTTCGTTACAGAAATTACACTTTGCATCTCATTCGAATTCGATCCAATCCTATGTTTTATCTTGGAAGCAAAAGCCTTATCCGAGCTAAATTAATTAAAATTATTTTGCATTAGTAGTTATACAAGGGAAAATATGAGTAGTGGAAATTCATATAATTTGGGTAGATTTTCTTTATTTTAGTTGTCAAGGTTGGTTGGGCTCTGTCATAAAAGACCTCCTATTTGAGTTATTGTTCTCCTTGATTTGATTGTATAATTCCCAGAGAATCGATGTATCTGAGTTGGGCCGTTGTTGAAGCATTTTCATGTTTTGTGCATAATATTGAACCCAATTTTCTTGGGCTTTTCAATAAACTACGCTGCATTTCATTTTCAGGGATTTTGGATACAAATAAACTAATTTGCACTTTGGTTCAAACTATCCTTGATTTTTGTCAAGGGTTCGAACTTCGCCATGATATGGAGCAACCATAAATACTTTGGCCAGCTATTTCATCGATTGAAATGGCTACAATTCAGTGAGAGAGATTATTTACTGTTGTCGACTGTGGACACCCTGCAAATATGCAAAAAAAAAAAAAAAAAAATCCTTGATTTTTTGTTACCGTTACTTCTGAAATTTCCAGTGACATTTTGTGGTGCATAGTGTGTACTCATTTTCACCCTGATAATTTTGCCTTATGATAATTTTGGATGTTGGATGAAAATCGAAAAGGTTACAACTAGTTAGGAGGGTCGGAAAATCAGCTTTGTTTTAGGACAATGGAAAGAAACTTTTTTTAAAAAACAAAAATGTGTCTTCAGTTTCTAGCTACAATGAGGATCAAAAACCCAATCATCACCTTGCAAGATTCTATCCAATGGTAAAGATTTATTATAGGAGTCGATAAACAGTACGCTTTGTAATTATCAAGGCTGTTAGCCTCATGCTATGATATATTTTTAACCCAAAACAAAAAAAAAAAAAAGAAGGAAAAAAAAAAGATTAACCTTGTATATGGGGCTTGTGTCCTTGCCAATTAAACACAAAACAAACATACTAAAAGAGACACGATGCACAAAAATTCGTACAAACAATGACTGGAATAATGCCAATGTCGGTATCAAGGATTAATGATAATCGAAGGTTAAAATTCCAAAATAAAATTTTAAAGAAGACCCCGACAACTTACAAATCGGTCTTTTTAAGTCGACAAACAAGTTGACGATAAAAAAAATTTCGTATTTTTACTACTTTTCCCATTTTGATTAGGTTTTCAATTAGGAGTTTTCTAATGTTATTTTTCGATCATTTCAATAAACTCTATCTGTTTACCATCTCCTCATGCTCCATGCTATCCGCTACCTCTCTTTCCCAAGATCCTTAGAGCACATCTTTGAAAGGTCAGATTAGTCTATAAGTTAAACGGTTGCTACATATATTTTCTGTATCAATACAAACATTACTAGGACTATATATTAATGCTGGAAAGGAAAGCCAAAAATGAGACTCGAAAAATTCACGAGACTAAAGATCATAATTTTACCTTAGGTTTGGTTTTTTCCTTTCAAAATGTAATACTACATGCTTAGTTTTAAGACTAGGGAAGTAAGCTGAAGAAGATACATTAGTTGTTAAAGCAAACAGTTTTTGGAACCTTGATCATGTATACAAACATAATCTATTTGTGCGTATTAATTTCTAGTTTTATCATCTGTCACGCGTTTCATTTTCCTTTCTTCCTTTTTTTTTTTTTTTCTTTGTTTCTTTTTGTTAAGTTCCAAAGCTTGCATTTCCTCCGGCAACATCAAAAAGAATAGACGAAGATGAAATATTATTGGCAGCACCCGCACCAACACTACCAACACCTTGCATGAGAGCAAATCTCATGTCTTCAGATGGTTTCCAATGTCTCTTCCTCTGATTTATGAACCAATTGTTGATCTGTTTCTGGTCTAATCCCGTCATCTCCGACAACTTAGTTTTCTCCTCTTCCTACATTATGAAGTCCCAAAATTAACACTAATGTAAGTATATATCAAATGAACCAAAACCATTGTTCATATATTATAACCGAAACCACTACCATCACTGATCAAAGGGACTTAAAAGTTAATTAAGTGAATTAGGTTAGGAATGGCATGTAGATTTGTCTAAAGTTTGGCGTACCGTAGGATAAGGCCATCTGTAATGTGAGTTCCACCAGTCCATCAGTGCAACCCTTGCATCTTTTGGTAACTTACCTTTCTTTCTTTTCTTCAAGAATTCTTTCCGCAAGGTACTGAGGTATCCGCTGTATTTTCGCATCAGCATCTCTTTTAGTCCGCTGTCTGCTTGACCAGCAACACTAGATTCTTGGCTCTCAGCAACTTCAACTTCTTCGCCGCAGCTTAGGTCTTCCTCTGAGGTGCCGTTCGCTTCATCTGATGGCCGAATAAAAAGATTGGATTTAGGGAAATGAATCCTCATTTCGAAGTATCCTTCCAATTTACATCATTATGTGCGTTGGAACATTTTATACGTAATGATCATCAATTTTGGAGTGCTGAGGAATTAACTGATGTTTAATTTTGGCGTTCATTGCAAGATCTGATGTTATTATATAGATGAATGTGCACTGTGTTCCACCAGAATGACTGTTTAGGAATTTCTAGTTTCTTCAAGTGATACTTTATGATTCCATTATATCATCATTCAATTCCAGTATACATCCTCCAATGAAGATCAAGAAATGACATATGAAAGCAATGATAAAACCAATTCCCTAATTTGTATATTTGAAGCACATTAATCAAGAAGAATGTAAATCATAAACAGTCTCCAAAGGTGTTTCCATGTAAATCAAAAAGTACCACCACATCATGATGACCTTTGGCAATCTTATCATTTTGATTTGAAGAGATTATATATATACAGAATAGTATCAATTTATCCCAAACTAAGGAGTACAATCAATATTAAAAAAAAAAAAAAGCACAAGAAGAAAAAAATACTTTAGAACTAGTCAACCACATACAATGATGAAGGAGAGAACACAACCTTTACTCAAGACACATAAAAGGGTGAAAATCATAGAAGTGCATAGAGGATGATAATTAATTTTGTTGGAATTTTCCTTCTTTTTGCATCCTCCTTTAGTTTTAAAAACATTTACAGGGTAGACTATATTTTTAGAGACGAGGGATGCTATACTTATTTAAAAAGAAAAAGAAAAAACACTTAGTGAAGTCAATAGGTTTTTCCCAAACAAAGGCAGAAATCAAGTTGTGATGTATATGTAATAATGTAAACATTAATTTTATGTTCATCTAAGCAATATTGTCCAATGCTTTGGTCTTATTATTCGTTATTACTACCTAAATTTATCTCTTCTCGTGCCTAAATAGAATGGCAGACACATGCTTATATAACGATAAAAATTTGAAAAGAAAAAAGCTTGGTTTCGTACCAGGCATAGATTGGACAGTTCAAAAATTCACGAGCTCCATTTATTTTCCAAAGACTTGTCATGTCAATATACATAGATGAAGGGTATCAATAGCTAAAGACATATCTTTTCATATTATAGAAGAAGACACTAGCTTCTCCACTTCACCTAATTAACTAATTAGCATTTATCACTATATGTTGAAACTGATTTGTTACTTCAATCATAGAAGGAAAAAAAAATAATATGCACACATATTTTCAGTTCCAGACATATGTATTTGTTCAACAAAGTGGACTATTAACACGGGACGGTAGAAAAGATTACAAGTTTAGGGACTTCCAAGTAGTGTTACCCGAATGATAATTTGTGGAGGTCAAGGAAGAAGAAGCAGTGTGTTCTGGACAAAGATAATGAAGCTGTGACTCAATGTTGTTCAAGAAATTTGTTGCTTCATCAAAAGGTTTCAACAGCTCCTCCTTATATCTACGTAGAGCTTCACAGTATGATTCCTTCAGTATATTTATAACAAACAATGTAAGTGTATTAATTATAATATACTAAAAACCCTTACTTTGATGCAGTTCTAAAATCAAGGAAAAAAAAAAGCAAAAAGTTCTGACCATGAATTTATCAAGTTCAGGATCTGCACCAATCTCTCTAGGAGATATAACAGGATGGCTTTCTTTGCTAATTTCTTCCAGTAAGGAAGCCATTTCTGGTGGTGCTCCAACCTGCAGAAACAAAAGTGAAGAAGATTAATCCCAAAAAAAAGTTTCTTCCCAAACAAATCATCATAAAATAATGAAAGGGTTTTGTTTTACCTACCTTTTTGCAGTCAACATAAGCAGAAACTAAGTTAGGATAAAGAGGATGATTAGCAATCTGAGCCTTTAAGAGATCTGATATCTCTGATGATGATGATGATGATTCCATCAATATTTCTTGTTGTTGATGATGATGATGAATAACTTGGTGATGATGGTGATCATCATTGCTTCCTCCTCTTATATTCTCAACTGGGCTCCTACTGTGATCCACCACTTCAAAAACTCCATCATCACCATTATTATTAGGGCATGAAAAAGCATTGTGAATTCTGTACAATTCATCCATGCTTTAAACTGAAAAGAAGAAAACCAAAGAAAGGGAATTTTTTTTTTTTGGTTGGAACTCCAGTAATCAATATGTCTGCCTGCTTAAACAATTTAGAAGACCCCACTTGAAGAAAAAATCAAGAAAACTATGCATCTAAAACAAGATTAAATTTTGCAGAAAACAGAAGGAGGGCAGATACTGTTTTGTCAAAAGAATGTGAAACTGTTGAAAAGGAGAAAGAAATAAAAGAAAAGAAAAGGTGGGAGTTTCTTTTAACACTTTTGATAGACACAAAGTGAGATGGGAAGGCACCTGGGGAGATAAACAATTTTCTCTGCAAAAAGGAAGAAAAAAGAAAGATGAAAATGACTTGTCTTTGATGGTCTTTTAGAATTAAGTTTCTGTTCCAACATTTGGTGAGGCAAACTCTACAACTACTTTACTACAAAACAGTGAAAAGTCTTAGTAGTGTTAGGCTTCTCTGATACATTAATTTAGATTTTAGAGGGCTTTTTCTCTTGGTTGGGAAGGAGCGATTCAGAAGAGAAATTAATAAAGGAACTAACTTGTGTACTTTGATTCATACATTGGATTGAGGTAAAGATCTTCTGTCATTTGATTGATGTAGTAGTACTATCTGTGATGTATTTTCATAACACCTTAAAACAGTAAAAAGCACTCATTTGATCATATCCTGGTCAAAGTCTCATTAGTTAGTTAGTTTCAACTTTGAAGAGCGTTTTATGCTACAAAACTCGCAACCCTCAGAATTCATTAGAGATAAACCCTAAAAAGCACTCAAATGGTATCACATACATATAGTGGTGTTTGTGAACATTGGTTCCTACTTCTTTGTGGATTTTTTTGGCTCCACAAGGTTTTATTAATTGGAAGCGACACAACTAAAAAACTGTTTTAGTTCCGTTTATAAAGATATAACAAGATAATGGTTCATTCTTCACTTGAAATGAATGTGGTATACAACCAAGAGAGATTCAATGCTCATTTTGTCAAGTGAAGATTGGAAATCTAAATCAAGCTATAGATATAAAAAAAAATCATTGAAATACACTAGAAACTAGAACTATGGTTCATGCTTAACACCATTGTAGGCAAAGATGGTACAAAGTGTTCAAACTCAAATCATAAAGATTTTATATTTTTTATTTGAGTTGAAACTTTGGAATTGGAAGAAGAACCAACTCAAAGTGAAAAAGACAGGACTGATCAAAGGAGTGTGTAAGTGAAGTTATTTTTCAGTAAAAAAGTAAAGTTTGAGGTTTCAGTTTGGAAGGGGCACGTTGGTTACCACGCTGAGCAACAGTATGCCTTGTCGGATGATTGCAGTAAGCTTATTGTATGCAGAATCCCAGCCTTCTCTTTTTCAACATGGATTTCATGTTTCTTTTTCTTTTGTTCTTTTTTTTTTTTTTTATCCGTTCCGAGTTCTTGTATATTTATAACATGGTGTAGCTAAAAATGACGCATTAATGAATGAGACAACTATGTAGTTAAAAGATTTAAGTATAAGTAAAAATGTAGCGACCGAACATTATATATGTACGTATGGAAGTGTACGTATATGGATTGTCCTAAATTTTTATACACACAATTGATTGTATTTGTATGGCTATTCATTAATATTGTTTTTATACGAAAGTGAGAAAATAAAAAGTCGTTTACCCTACAATTTTATGTTGAAACCAAAATGAGTATGACTTGAGAGGTTATTAGACTTCCTCAGAAACAAAATAGTTATCCGTACATTATTACTCTACATGATTCATGCACGCTGCAATACATGAAACAAATTAACCATTTGGAGGAGGAAGATCGGTGGTGCTGAGGGAGAGAGGAGGATGATGATGGACAGTGATTGGGGAAGAGACACGGAGGAAACTGTTTTTGTAGGGACTGTTTGGGACGTGACTTATTTGACACGTTTCGGTTGCTTATAAGTGAGGGACCCCATCATCACCCTCTTCAACTTGAATAGGTTAATATCAAACACACCCTAACTCCAGGTTAACTTGATTTTTCAAAAGACCCTTTATTATTTAAAGCAATATTAAAAAAAAAAAAATCTCTAGACGAGTAAGTAAATTAATCAAAAAAGAGGTTGTTTGGCGACTGAAAAATTGATGTTTGCATATGAAGTCAGAAAAAAAAAAAAATACTAGGAAGACATTGGTACTCCCAATAAACATTTCATGAAATTTTTTAAAATTTTAATAAAATGAAATAACCACTTCTAAATCTGAAATTCTGTTTTCACAAGTCTCAGAAGACTAGAATTAACTCATAGTCTAATGAATTTTATGTAAGTTAGAAAAAAATCATGGAGAGTTTCTTAAGGCCTGAGGCTATAAATATTTTTTTGGTAATTTTTTTAACTGACATCAAATGCATACATTAATTTCCTTTCAAATGACCCTTTTAATAAATTATTTACTAGTTGATTTATTGCGGCATTTCATTACGACTTTCTCTTGGTTGATATAGTTCGTTCAAAAACACCAATTATTAATGTAAAATTTGGTGAATCTACATGTTCAATGATTGTGTTTTCTTTGATATCACAAGCTTTAATTTCCATGTTCGGAGTTTTTAATGCATTAACAAAGCTGTAGAACATAAAATAAAAATAAAAATATATAAAAATTTCAACCTCGGATTCTAGAATATGGTCCTGAATGAATGCCCACGTCCAACAGAACCTTAAAAAGGTTTCAAGACAGAATTGAATATCCCTATTAACGTTAAAAGGAATTAGATGCTTGTCCCGGGCAAATGCCCGGGACGTCCTCCTACCTAATAAATTAATATGTAAATAATCAAAACTGATTAGGAATGAATTTAGTTTTTGATGAAGATAATTGATTGATCAAAAATTAATTTTTTAGAAAGTTCTAAATAAGTAGAGAAAGAAAGTTCCATTCACTGTTAAATTCAAAATTTGAATGAACATGGTCATCTGATCTCTTCGTTAATATTGTAAATATATTTTTTATTTTTAAAAGGAGGTGACACGTGGCAGAATGGTTTATGCAATATGGTGCATTTGGAACCAAAACATTTTAATAAAAAATTGCCACATCAGCATCCTGTTTTCTACTTTAATAGGGTAAAAGGGATAGGCCATGCCAATAATGTAATCGATCCCACTCTTTAATTTATTTCAAAACCTATATTTGTGTCCTCAAATTTGAATCATTTAAGGGGTAAATGCCACTATTGAGTGTTTTTTTAAAGTATTATTATCTTTCGTCCTATTTCAATAATTTATTTTATTCTATTAATTTAATTTAATAAATAAATTATTAAAATGGAGTTTTTTATATAAAAAAATAAAATAAAATTATAATCACTCCTATGGAACCCTCCTGCTTAGCGAGGGTAGTGAGAAAGAAAAGATGTTTGTAAACAGTTTTGCCTTTACTTTTTGTAAAGAGATTGTTTTCCCGCTTTCGAATCCGTGATCGAGTCAACCAGTCACGAAGTATAGCAAATTAGCAATTATGATATGATATGCGTAACTGTACAAAATTTAGAAGTCAAGGATTGCTTCTAGGACCAAATATATAATAGTGACACAGAATTTTTACAGAGAATAATAGTGTTAAATTTTAATTATCGCTTAATAAGTGGATAAACCCGTAAAGAGAAGTTTTAAATATAAACGGTTATATATATATTAGTGATGTTTGGTCGCGCAATGTGCGACCCTAACCCAATATATCTGTAGATCTTAGAAATGTTTGTATCTGAAAAAAAAATTTGTATTTGGCCCGATATATTTTAGAAATATTTGAAGAATTTTAGAAATGTTTTATAAGTGTGATGTTTGTATTTGGCATAAAAATAAATTGTATTTGGCCCGGTACGTTTTAGAAATATTTTATAAGTGTTACTTCTTAAATATAAATAAACTTGATCCAATATATATCTTGAAGTAAATGCTAGAAGAAATATAAAAGTATCCTAATAAATTTAAACATTAGTAAGATAATTTATTGATGTTCTCCATTGGTTGTGCCAAATCAATACTTAGTTTTGGAGATTTATAATAGCTTTGTAGTTAGTTTCCTCCAAAGGGTATACGCTTAATTGTTGGAACTATTTCTTCCAAAAGTTTATAGAGAGTAAAATATCAAAAATATGATTTTGATACTGGTTAATTGTTGAAACTGGTTGATCACAAATATGAGAATGAAAATAATGTAAATTTGCATATGTTTCAAGATATAGCAAAAAAGAACTCACCTCACCATGGCAAATAATTAAAAAAAAAAAAGAGTAAAAGATAACCCATTAAAATTTGAGAATTTTTATTTTTTTCTGTAGGTAAAAATGATGTATAAAAACACAAATAAATGTGGAAACATCATTCCTTCCCTCTCCACCTCAAATTCATAAAAGTCTTAAAGAAGCACTCGAACTATTTATATGACGAGGAACTAAAAAACGTCCAAAAACCAAATCCAAAAAAGTATATTCTTGAAACCCCGAACACAAAAAAAAAAGTGCTTCATTTGTAAATAAAATAATAATAATAATAATAATAATAATAATAATAATAATAATAATAATAATAATAATAATAATAATAATAATTGGTCAATTGGGAGTATGAAACAAAATCAAAAGCAATTAAACAAAGAAAAAACACACTTCATAACTGGCCATATACGAAAAAAAAACATGAGACTCCATAATTTAAAAAAGAAAACCACTCTAATTGAATGAAACATAAAAAACAAATTTAAAAAACCACACTTTGTAACAAAGACCCAATCAATCAATTCAATCTAAACATAACTAAAATCATACAAAAATTCTAGACTAACTAACCAAATAAGAAATCACATCATACTACCTGACAACGGCTCCGGTAGTTGTAACGGATGGACGCATAAAAATAATAGTAATAACACTATTCTTGAATGGGAAAAATAAAAAATAATAAAAGCGAAACTAATATCTGTGGAAATAAAATCATTTAAATTTTAATACCTGTAATGGCACCACCACAACGGCCAAAGCAAGATCAATGATAATTTTTTTTTTCCTTTGTGTTTATAGAGAGGTAAAGAGAATATTTTTTGAAATTAAAATTTTATCCGATTAGGATGTAGTTGATCATCACTAATGAAAAGATTGAACATGCTAATAGGAAATGAGTATATTTCACCACATATTCTCAATTGATGATTGATGAAGAATTTTTTTTTTTTAATTGTGGAGAAGAGATTGATTAAGGAGTCGATTGTCGTGGCGATGGGGATGAGGATTTGGATTTTTTATGAATCCGTGGTTTTTTTTTTTTGTTTGTTTTGACGAATTTAGGAGGTGGAAATAAATTTGGACTGCATTTGCCTTTTAAGTTTATGACATGTGGAAATAAAAATTTATTTTAAAAATATGATGTGGAAATGCCACATGACAAATGGTGGTGTTTTTTTTAAGAGTGGTTTTTGTTTCTAATATAGTAAGATGTATTAAAAACAGCAAGACAAGTCCACATGGTCATGAATGCTGACCCCGTGAGTTGCAAATTGCAACTCCCATGAAAATGCCCGGATTATACAAGCAAGAGAATTTTCCAGAACAATATGCAATTGATTGTAATGTGCCAAAAGGAGACTATATATTAGAATTGATTGAAAAGGAAGGGCACACAGTCCTGAGTCCACCACCACCACAATCACATTCAGACAGGAACAGAAGGAAAAAACTAGCCCCATCATATGACCCCATCCACTAAATTATAAAGGTCTTAATTCAGCAAAACACCAGTCCTAAAGTAAAGAGATCACCTCCCATGGTACACTTTCTTTCTTATGCCCTAAAGACCAAACCATTCCCGCATTTCCTGGATCCTTTGGGACCTAACTTTGCCCTACCTGACAGATGGAAATCAATGCCAAAACAACTCCAGATTTGGCATCCCCACCTTTTATGTTTTTCCTATACTTCCTTGTAAAAGAGTTGGGCCATTGTCCCAAATGCCGTATCCACCCGACTCTTGAGCCAAGAATTCAAATCTTACCAGTTAAAGAACACCCGTCTCCTAGGCCAAAAGTTCGAATCTCACCAGTTGGAAAAAAATGCAACCACCGTGTGTCTCACAGCCCTAAGGCAAGCATTTCAATGCATACGCCCAATGCAAGATAAGATAACTCAAAGATGTGAAATAAACAATCCTACATTAGAAGATGATTTAAGAGAGCAAGTTCTTGGTGACAAGTCTTAAAGACAAAGATGGAACACTGAGCAACTGGCTAAATTACAATGACCATACTAAGATATATTCATCATCAGGGATACAAATCCTTCCAACATACAGAATGATTAGCTAACACAAATGCTGACCTAACTCTATATACAAGCATTTTAGTACTGCTTAAGTTAAAAGATCAAGCTACAACAAGCTCTAACCACGAGCAGCTCTAAGGAAGTTATCAAAAGGACTGGCTGGGGGAAGCCTAAGAGCCAACCATGATGATTCCTTTGACATTTCTGAACTGAAAGCTGGCCCATCTTCACAAGTTATCTACAGCAGAAGTTTCAAAAAGTCATAAAAGCACAATTAGTTTTTAAATACTGACACACTTTCAAAACCTATTTGAGCAACAAGGCTCTCACACATGACACCCGTGCCTCAATCTTAGAACAAGTAAAAATGGGCTCTCACACACCTTCCTCAATGCAGAGATCCCATGAGAAGGATTTGCTGGAAGCAGGGGAACTGCCTTCCTTTGATTTTTCTCGTGAGTCAACCAATTTGAGAGTTTCTTCCTTGTGTCAGTACCAAGAGCTTCACACTGACTAGCCATGGCACTATAGGGAAGTGGAGAAGTTGAAACAGATGTTCCAGCAACTTGTCCGGCAACCTCAAGGGCCTGGAACAAAAATTTGATCTTAGCCGGAATTCAGTAACAAGATAAGGATATGCTCTTTCCATCAATTGCAGAATATTTGTGATATAAGAACCTGACAGCCATGATGTTGCTAGTTCAATTCAGATACCTAAAACTTATGGTTAAATATATCTAATCCTCCCATAAAGTACTAAACGGAATTAGGCATTAAGTTTTACCAAGAATGCGATCAGCCTCTGAGCACAACAACACTTGCATTTCCTCAACTCTATCCCTAGGCATCAGGATTTGCTTCATCATCTTCACATTGGTTTTTGTTTCAGTTATTCATGTTTTCACAATTTAATTCTTTCAACTCAGTTCAATGGTGAACATACATCAATACATACAACTAGAAGTGAAAGCTTCCAGCAACACAATTTTCGGCACTTTTCTTAAAGATTCAAAGTTTGTTGGTGCTTGTGCCTTGTAGAAACTAGTCCAATGAGCCTAAAAGACATAGCATGCTGATGAACATCACAAGAGAAATTGGAAATAGAGAAGATTACTGATTCCAGAAGTTGGCCAATGCTAACAACATGAGACATGGAAGGGCACGGAGACATGGGCATTTTGGGTATGAAGTGTGAGAGGTCAGCAACAGAGGATTCACTTGCCACGTCATCGTCAACAAACAAATTTTTAGGAAGCTCCTGAAACAAATAGAAGGCAAGTCATGTTTCATGATTTCCAAAAGTCTTCAAAAACTAGTGGTAATAGATATCAGGTTAAATCAAATTTTATCAGCTATTTAAGACAGATGACACCAAAACTCCAAATAAGACAAGTCTTGCATGTCTTCAACCAGTATATGAACAACTGATAGCATTTTTCAGAAGAGATTACCCCATCAAATGAAGGAGATTCCTTGGAGCATGAAACCATCTGGCCGTTGTTGAAGTAAGGAATTGATTGAAGGCCAAACATTAATGTATCATCTGGTGCGAATCTTTCTGATAGCTCATTAACAAGATCATCCGCCTTCATCTTATAGATAAACAGGACATAGCATAATGTAAGTCAACGACATCATCTATGCACGTAAAAAGTGTAGAATGCTAAGTCGTGATCGTGGAAATACCAAAGAAAAAGGTGATCAGGTCAACAAAAATAGTGTAGACCGTTCAAGGAAAAGCATACCTGGGTAATGTTGGATAGGTTTTCCACAAGAATATCCACCATGACTTTCCCATATTCTTTCATCTTGCCATGTAACTGGGATAACAGGATAGCAGCAGCCTGGTTTTCTGTGGGAGAGCCATATTCTCTGACATTTGCTTGAGGTTTCACATAAACTTGAAAATCATCACTGATGCCAATATACGGATCAACCTGAGGAGAGGATATTTCATAACTACCAATCTCAATACCAGTAAGTAAAGTAGAACAGGGTAATTTCAAGCTACATGAAAGGATCTGAAGGGAAAGTGTAGCAGTAAAAAGAAATTAAGGGGCAAGACACAGAAAGGTAAAGTGAAAAAAAAAATTAGAGACCAGGAAATAACTACTCAAGAGAAACCGTGACCAAAACATTAATCAATGATCCGCTTTACAGTCGGAATCACTACTTTCTACGGAGCAACAAAATAAAGTACAACCTTCTGGGCTCTAGAATCAGAATCCATCAGCGCCATTCTATCATAGAAAAAGAAGGTAGACCCATACTCTAGCTCAAAGACTATTCAAGCTTAGATAAGCTTTCATGACAATGCAAAATCAAATTCATTGATAAATGATCAAATAGAAAGCTGTAAGAACTCACATCATGCTCGATCAAAGACTTGAGTATATTGACCAAATCAGAGATGTGATAAATCCTGGCGGTAAACATTAACATTGCAACTGATAGGACAAGAAGCGATCTCTGGTATGCAGGAGAAAAAGACCCTGAAAAAAGAAAGGAGTTGGTACTAGCACAATGTCCCTGAAAGCAAAGATAGATTGGTGATCAACGAAAAGTAGTACATACCATTGTCAAGATCCAAGGACACTTTCAAAAGTGAAAGAGGAACGTGAAAGAACCGCACAATTAGGTTACACTGTGTGTTCTGGATCAACAGAAAAACCACAAAACCTCATGAGATCTAAGGAGAGTACACGAAATGAAGAAAAAGTAACAGACAAAAACAGCCCCAGATAGAAATCACTATGGGGATCATGTTCTTCACAAAATCTCTTAAACAAGGGAAAGACCCGACAAGTCAAAAACTTGTACAAAATATTCAGACATTTCAATAGTAAATAAAATGAAGGATAAATTAATTAAATAATTAAAATGCATATAAAATTTCACCTTGAGTGAAGAAATTAGTGTTAAGCAGAAAGAATGAGATATTGCTTCAATATTTGCAGGTCCATTATCAGGAAGGTTCGCTTGCATCCAAAATGCAGTCAACACTTGGGCAATCTGGTCATCATCAAACCTTAGAACAGACGTTTCCTGCAAACAGACGTTTCCAGTCAGAATAAACATCTGCGTGTATGTGTGTGTGTGTATACATATACATGTGTGTATATATATACATATCTATATGCGCATGTGTACATACATGTATATATAAATGCAAATATAATCTGAACAGAAGAATGGAAATGATGGGAGACTAAGGACCCCTTACTGTCTCAGTCAAGCTTGGTGATCCAACGGTCTTGTCAATAAATGAACTAATTTTGTTGAAATTGGGAGAATTTTTTCGGGCCCTTCCCTGATGAAGTTCATCTTCAATGTCTCTTTCCTTGAACTCATCTTCAATCTTAATTCCGTTTCTAGCATCACCTTTTTCTCTCCTGAGCTTCTCAAGTAATGCTGCAACAGAGTCAAATGTGGATGTACTGCCAGAGTGCCATCTCTTTGCATAATTAGACACCTCTTGTCTTGTATGGTATCGACTTGGAATCAAAAGCACGGAGAATATATGATGCCCTCCGAGGCGCACTTCAACATCAGGATGTAACATCAACATCAATAATTGAACAAGCAGAGTCTCTGGGAATACCTACAAAATAGAGAGATATTGTAATCTAGCCCATCTTCAACATTTATTGATTTCTTTCTTTCAAGTTTTCCTTAGGATGTTAGGGTGGTGAAGGAGGGGAAGAAAAAGTAAATGCAAATCCATATGTAATTATTCCTACTCACTGACCCAGACCTGATTTCAAATATCATTCAGTAAACCAAACGATATGAGGAAATTTTCCTTAAGAACCAGTTAGTTAATGAAGAGAGAACTTGGAGAACAAGAGGAAATATGAAAGCTCTTGGTTCCAGGAAGGTAAGACACAATGCATAGAAAATCATTTTGCAATATTAGAGAGTCCACCTGCTGTGACTGGGAAGAGACAGCAGCTAGAGATATCATGTGAGCAAGAATGACCAACGATCCTATGGTAGCCTTGGCAACAGCTTTAACACTTGAAATTTCCTCCAGCAACATGGCCATGATGTCAAATAGTGGCCGGGCATCACTTATCTACATAGACAAAGTTGTAGATGTTAACAATGCAAAGTGCATAAGAGATTATCCAGGGCCTATTATTTTGAACTAAAACCAAGCATCACATCATGGTAACTGAAGAGACATAGCTGCTTTCACTGAAAGCAATGGAAGTCTACCCCTTTAGCAATTTCCAGCAGTAAATCCTCCAAGGAGGTCTGAAGTCTGACATTCATGTCCGATTCTTGTTCCCCAACTGATCCAAAAGTAGCTTGAAGACTTTTACGCAAGTGTTTGCAGAGATCACTGACAAATCCTATCCCAGAAAGTACAGATCCACTTCTAATTTGTCGAGCCAAATAGGTAGCAGTTTTAATAACAAATGATTTAATTTCAGGATCATGGATGATGTTTTTGCGATCAAGATGGCGAACTACAGCAGCTAACACTACCAACTGGTTCCCTGAAAACAAAATTTGCAGAATCATTCAGCAGTTGACTAAAAAGTTAAAATAAATTTGGTTCTTAACTAAACAGAAAAAGACATTCAAAAAAGCCAAATTGGAATCAAGAGCTGGGGTAAGTCCACTTCATTTTTAATTTAATAATCAGCAAAAAGTAAAAACTTTACAGATCGAAGTTGCACAAGACAAAATGTAATGGTCAAGTGAAAATTGAGCAATAATGATAGAGGGAGGCTCACCAGAATTTTCCATGAAGTAGCACATGTCTGACAAAACTACTGGAGCTAAACCATGAGGCGGAACCCAGTGTCTGCCCTTGTCAAAGTAGACAAACATTGGATCCAAAACTCGGCGCATGGTTGTACTCTCTTTTGCCAGATCCACTATCCTCTGTATGCATATCTGTGCCCAAACATTTGGATTCTCGAGCTCATCTCTGTCATCAACAGAATTGGGAATAACGTATAAGTAGATTATAGACTTAGAAGAAGATGTTGGACAAATTTATAATACACAAACCTTGTTAACTGAGAAGGATCTTTCCTCTCCGGCCGAGGTCTAATATTGATGCGGCCAGGGCTAAAATCACCAATTCCTCTTCCTTCACATCTAACCACTTCATCCACCCAATGATGGCACACCTCCCGTTCTCCGCCATTCCCATGACGCCGACTGGGTTCATAGTTCTCTATAGTTGCATGAATGATCTGAGAAGGTGAAACAGAAATTCCATCAAAAAGAACTTTTTTCTTTTTTTTTGCAGCAAAACTTCCTCAACAATAGTGCATCCTTAATGAATTCTACCCTCAAAGGTGTAATTCAATTACAATCTTTTTCCCTCATCTGAAGTACAGCTCTCAACTTGTTTTTCAAAACTTTCCATTCCTTGAAGTAAGTTTTGCCTAGATTTATAAGTTATTATTCATTGTAGATAAAAGAATCTAAAATGGGATAGGAAAACTATAGAAGTAAATTTAGTAGAAGTATTAACAGAAACTAAAAGTTGACCATGGCCAACATTGGCTATGGTAAAGTGCCTTTCTATCCAAACCATTTTCATTGAACTTTTATTAAGTGCAAGTTTGAGTGAGTGAGGCTGGGTCCCACCAGACCAACTGGTTGAAATGAACATTTCACACTCGACAGAGTGTAGAATCATGAGTATTCTACCTCCATTCAACCCCCATTGGAGATGCTCTTAGTCATCTATGTACAAATGGATGACTAAGGGCATCTACAATGGGACTTGAATGAAGCGAGAACGCCCCATAACATCCCCAACTGATGCAGGGTATGGAATGAACATTTCACACAGAATGGGTCTAGGATCAACAAACCTACAATTGGGAAAAAAGATATTCAATGGTCCAAAGGCTATTTCAGCAATGACCATTTTGTTCTCTTCTGTAAATGATTCTTTCAATTCTTAGCTTACCACTTTCCTATCTCATTAGCTATTATGAATACTTTCTGTTATTGTAAACTGATTAAAGTTAATAGAGCGGATGTAGTAGATATGCATAACTTAGCTTATCATAGGGTGTTCTGTAGTAGATTAAGGTCTCCAATCTAATACACAGGTCCCTCTTCCCAAAAAAAAAAAAAAAAAAAAATTCAAGGTTTCTCAAAATCAAACATTATATTGTAGCCTCAGAAACCTGATAGAAAAAGTTCCTAGAGCACAAAAGAAAGCTCCAGGCCACCAATTGATTGAGGTATTTACAGAAAAGCTGACCACTGCCAAATCCTAAACATAGCCTTGGTAAAATGCCATTGTTCCAATAACATTGAAAATTTTAATTGAATTCGTTTAAGTGCCAATCAATGTGTCTGGGAGCCTAGGACCCAGCAAAACTGTTCGGTGAAATAAACATTGCACCCGCGACGGTAGGGTGTTGTATACGAGTATTCTACCTCCATTCAAACCCCATTAGAGATGCTACATAGATGACAAAGAGCATTTACAATGGGTCTTGAATGGGGAGAGAATACCCAATTGAACACCCCCACCAACCTGGGGTATTGAATGAACATCTCACGCAAAATGATAAGTCTAGGTCCCCTAGGATCATCAAACCTACACTTTGGAGAAAATTGTAATAATAATAATAATAATAATAATCCGAAGGCTATTTCAGCAATGGTGATTTTGTCTTCTTCTTTAAAAGACTCTTCAAATCTTTCTTTCTCCTCCTATCCCATTATCAATTCTTTTCTCGTGATTTTCAAAATCATTGGTTTTTATAACCACCTACGCCATCTAAACGGAAAAGTTACTAGAACGAGAAAAAACTCTCCAACTACCAACCCCACCCACCCTAGAAAACAAAAGGAAAAGAAAACCCAACCTGGTCAAAATCATCAAAAATATGAGAAAACTCCTCCATAAACCACACCTGCAGAGACAATTATAGTTATGAAAAGGTTAAAAAGTCACATGTAAACAGAAGACAAAACGTATCAAATACATTTGAGTTGTTTGAACTATAAAAAGACATATCTACTCACCATGGCTGAAAGGCACTGCAAGCTTGATGACCTTAAGCAGAGTTTTTCATGCTCTTGACCTTTCTCTAGAGCTAAAGTACAAACTTTTCTAACCAAGCTTTCCAAATTGTACGTGTACGTTCCATCTTTCTGTTCATGCATTTCCAGTGCACAAATTAGAGTTGGGAAAACAAAAGTTGTAGACATTCAAGAACTACAAACAAATTTATCAAAAATTTAAAAACATATCATAAAACAAATTTGCAAAACTAATGTCAGATGATGACCATAATAAAAAGGTAGCATAGCAAAGTAAAATGACAATTTTTGCTAATGTAAGATGTGTGCATGCATCAAACACATGTATATGCACACTGCATGCAGATGTATTAGTGACAAAGCACCAAAACCACACATGAAATTCTTCTCTTCGCTGTGTGTATGGGTATTATTAAGAACTGTGTAACACTAAGTATTGCAAAGTTCCTGTTACTATCACTGGTAAACTAAATACAAAATCTTCACTGCCCACTTTTCCTCATATGACACAAAAGGATTGTTCCAGTAGTTTCCTCATGACTTAAGAAATACAGGTAATAAGCATAAAAATTTTCAATGTATGTAAATGATACTAAATCATCTATCTTCTAGAATTAAATGACGCCTGAAAAATAGTAATAGAAATAGCTCCATTCAAAATAGTAACATATTTCAAGTGACAAGTAAATATGTAAAGAGAAAAAGTACCTGACTGTAAATAAACTGAGTCAGCATCTGTAAGCCAATTATCCGGAAAGCATCTTTTTCTGACTCTTCAAGTAGTTTAACAACTACATTCAGTAAGCCAACAGCAAAATATGCCCTAAAAATACAAGAAAGTGAGGACTCTGGCCATGAAGGAAATGAAAGCATTGTTCTCCCAGGAAAATTAAGAAAACCTAATAATCAAGAGTGCACATATAAGAGGCAAAACCGTGTAAAAGCCAAGATATTCAGTGTTTAGGAGAAGGGAAAAAAAAGTATTAACATCAAAACTTTTTTTGATTGCTCAGCAATTCTAAATTATATTTCAAAACAACCAAGATCATATTTGACAAGAGAAGTTTCAAATTTTCCAACCATCATTAAACACCAATTAAAAACAGTAGAAACCACATTTGGTGCTGAAGGATTCAAGCAATATAATGCAAGTCTCTGCAAGTGGTAGAGAATACTAACAACTACTTTAACTCACATTTGGTCCCTACAGGTACTCAGCAACTTATTATAAGTTTCAGCAATGATCTCAACAAGTTTCACATGCTGGCTCCGGAGTTCCTTGTAACACCGTTCTTCAAGATACATCGTGATCTGTTCATACAGAACTCCCACTAATAAATCCAAAGCATATTTATACATGGTAATATTTCTTTGTTGCAGCAGATTTCATACTACCCTGATAATTAAATAAAATTAAGCCGCAGACGATAGCTAATAACAATTGAAAGTACATCTGCCATACAACAGATAACTCAGTTACTACATACGTCAAAATGGATAAATTCATTTTTTTTTTCTTGAATTCCATTTTACAAGCATAGCCAAATACCTTTGGAATTCTGCCAGGATTTTTCGCTGCATATTCACATAATTTAGCAATTTTCCTGTCATTCGGAGGGCTATCCTGCACAGAGAAATGTGCGCAATTAGTAATCCTGGGATCGACATAACCTTTCAGATGGTATGTCACATATATATCAACATTTGCAATGAGGATGACACTGTGTTAGAGAAACTAGTGAATTTATTTAACAACTAAACACCAAGGTTAACTGATACATGTTCACATTACAGTAAAATACAGTCATCACTCATCAGAAACTAACACCAATTTCACAGGTAGGCTCTTGCAAAATGACTAGCTTGACTCCGGATAAAATAGGAAAGGAGGGAAAAACAAACACGACAGGGGTAGAGTGGAGAACTCACAGCAGATTTCGGGAAAGCATCGGCGAGCAGTTTCTTGTACCGCTTGACAGGTTGTCTCGACCTTGACCTCAGAGCAGGGCAGCAGACACACATATTTCCACATGCTGGGAAAATCTTTCGGGAAATAAACCCCATTGTCCTAAATTTCACATCAAAACAACATCAAAGTATATTAAGCAAAGTACCAAAGCATTTGCACAAAATCCTCATAACTATAATCATAAAACTAGAATTCAACACCTACAATGCAGAACTAGCTGATCCCTAAGCTAAATGAAAGCCATGAAAGAGGAATGAAAAACTGTGCAGAAGGCCTAAAAATTACAGAAGTAAATAGACAAACACTTAGACTGAACACAATGAGACAACAGAAAGAAGAAGCAGGGCCTTAAAAGGTAAAACATTAACACAATTTCAGGTGAACCCAGCAGAAACACAAACATGCAACGGCATTGTAACAATGACAATTAATTACAACCCAGAAAAAAAAAAAAATCTACACAGCTCAAAAAGAGTTAAAACTTAAAACCCAGTTCATTCAACGGAGAAAATAATCATTACAAAGATGGGGAAACAAAAAACCCAGAGAACCAAAAACCTCGAGAACCGACAAAGAAAACGGGAGAACAACGGAAACGGTTACGCAACACCACCGAAATGGAGGAGAAATGGAAGGCCGAGAAACGACATTGACGTACCCTGGAGTGTAAAGAAACAGATCTAGGCGGAGCAATTCTCCCACAGTAACGGCTGAATTTGGCCGGAAGTTTACAAACTGAAACTCCCAGTCCAGAGTCCAGAGCAAAGAACAGGAATAGAGCTCTCGGGAGTGATGTTGTATAGTGTACAGCAAAAAAAAAAACAAAAAAACAAAAAAAAAACAGTAATAAATAACGAATGATGAAGAGAAGAGAAGAGCGCGTGAATTTTGAGGAATTTAATAAAAAAAATTAATAAGTTTATTAATTAATTATATTTGAGAGAGTTTGAAAAGCCTCAACGGAAGAGACCATCACGTGATTGTCAGCCACTATTTTCAAAGGTTTTTTCAGTTTTTTGGTTTAAGAAAAATCGGAAATAAAAATAAAAATAAAAGTGAGTTGCTTTTTTACCAGTCTTTGTTTGTGTCAGAACTTGGAAGACTACAAATTGACTTTTTATTTTTTCCTGAATTTTTTTCACCTTACAAATACTAGTATAATTTTATAAAGAATCCTTTTATTTTCCCCGTTTTAATATGATTTTCATATACTATAAATATAAAGAAACTATGAGGGTTATTTTGAGATTAAGAAATGATATATTAATTGTTGTAGTAAATTACTTAGGTCTACTAATAATGTCATAATGTATCATATCATTTTCATTGAACGAAAATCATATCCTTAAGAAAAATGACCGAAAAGCCAAGAGATTTAAATTTTGATTAATACTCTATCTATCACAAAGTGATTATGATTCAATTGTATTAAATATAGTAAAAAAAACTAGAGAATTAGGCAATTTATATGGTGAACAAGGTTTACCATATATGGTGCACTGATTTTAAGAATTGTATCACGCACACATAAAAGGAAGTAAATTTAATTTTTTTTCCCACAAAACTCACGTGCATACTTTATTCAATTCCATGATTTACTAAAATTGAATACAGTTTTAAATTACTCATAATTACTGTATGTGGTTTCCGTGACCCAAGAATTCAAAAGTTTTATTATAATATTCATACTATTATTTTGCATTATACATGAAACAAAACACAAATATTCATGACCTCAACATATAATTACAATGTTCATAACAACATAATTTAAAAAATAAAAAATAATATAACGTATTGTTCAAAGGCTAAAATATATATTTAAAACTTTCATACACCATAAAATATTCATAAAAATATATTAGATTGTTCACACGATCCAACCACAACTAACATGAAAACACTAATTGAACATCACTAAATACATGTATGAAAAACTCTAAATTACATAATTAACATACTACCATAAAATTAAATTTGCGTAAGCAACTATTATCCATTGTCAAAGCACAAAAAAAAAAGAAAAAAAACTAACATATATATTTATAAAAATTAAATACAATTCGAATGAACTTCTTATCTATATTGTTTGAACATGTAGTGATTCTTCCCAATTACTTTTATCCATCGAAATTCTTTTTTTTTTTTTTTTGTTTCCTTCAAATATGGTACAATAGATAAGGTAGGTTTTGATTATGAATTTTACTTATATTAGGAATGATATTTTAACTGTAAAATCCTATTGAGTAAATTACAGACTCGATTGTCTGCTAATATTAATTCCATAATTAATTTAATTTATAATGAATTAATATTCCTAATTTATTATTATAAGAGCGCGTGTAAATACAAAACCCGTGCCCCAAATATTGTGCACGGTATAATTACCGAGATAATTATCCTTTTGAAACAAAAAAAAAAACAGTAAAATTAATTGAAACGAGTATTACTCAAAGTCAATGAAACTGATCATAATGTATTAAGAAAGCATTTAAAAAATTTTGTAATTATTTAGATTTACTTTAAATGAGTAAGTAAACGAAACCAGAAAAGTTGCTATTGTGTGCTCATAAAAATTCCGTTTCAGAAATATAATCATGTTTATTGATTCATTTTAGTATCTCGAATTCTAATTTTGAGATGGCTAAAACCGGTAAAGGGCATAAAAGTTCCATCTTTACTCCGGGCGGGGGATGGATTTGAATTTCATGGCTAGTTATAAAGTAATTCTTTTTTAAATAATTTTAGTAACTCTTTATGCCTTTTCTCTTTTTGTATGCTTATTGTTGCGTGTGCATGGATTTTCGGTGGGTATTATGGCATGCGAGTTAGCTCAACTAAATTAATTAGGGTTAGGATAATTATAATAATAACAATGATCATTGTTTAAGATTAGGATTACCTCGACTCTGGAATCGTTTGACTACGTAACAAACACGATACCAGGAAAAGTTTTGGAGTCAAATTTAGTTAACCCAAAAGATTGATAGAGAGATACTATATTATTTATTCTATAAAGAGACTTTCGCCCCACTAAAACAAGTGTTGTTTTTTTTAAACTATTTCGGGGTGAAATTATTTCCGTCGTCTCAACTAAAAGAAAAATTCCATTTTTTGTTAAATTATTTCGGGGTGAAATTATTTCCGTCGTTTCAACTAAAAGAAAAATCTCATTTTCATTAGTAAAAATAATATCCTTAAAAATCATTCCAATTTCCTAAGTTATTTTTAATTCAATTATTTTCAAAAAAAATTAATTTAATTAAAATGAGTAAAACTATCCGCATAAATAAGGTACTCTATAAGTAAGCTCTTATGCTTTTAGTTAAGAACAAACTGGATAAGGATTAAGGACATAGATAAAAATTTCTGAATAAATAATGATTGCACGTTAATTCAAACTAAATATATATATATACTTGTGTAACGTGAAATATTTTTCCTGAAGATGATTTTTTTACCGATCACATTTCTCTTTTCTTTCTCACTACAAATTATCAATCTTGAAATATGATTTGCCACTCTCTTAGTCAGTTTGGTTAAAGGGAATTGATATATTGAGAGCAATTTTTTTAGAATGAGAGCAAAATTTTAGTTATTACCCACTTTACTTTCGTGTAATATTATAAAAGGTTTATGTCATATTTATCTATCCTTAATTTTTTCCGTGTTCTTCTTCAATCACCGCGAAAGATGAAGGTTTCAATAGATACACTATACTTCGCCCCTTTTTGCAACATCGTTAAACTATGGCGCCATAATCTCCTTTTTAATCTCAATCCAAGAGACTTTAATTTGTTCAAATCATTATCTTTTATTGAGTATAGTTTACAACTCTCCGATTCGTTTCAGGCGGGCGGTAAAATCAATTTTTTCCCATCATCTCCAGTTTAGCGTGGTGCGTATGTTTTCCTTGAGCAGCTTTCTCACTTTTATAAATTTAGTGGTTGGTGGTTAAATTCATGCACTAATGTATTTGGCACATTCAAGATGGTTTACTATTTGTTTGTACCCTCAATTGGAGTCATGACTCCTCTATTCAAGTTAACTGAAATATTATTTTTTATTGAGTTTCAGAATGGAATAGAGATAAAATTATTATTCAATGGGTTGAGTTTTAGTTTCATGGGTTGGGTTCAGTGGCATAGAAATATTCGATAAGTACTCGGACTGAGTTGATATTCGATGCAATAGAAATATTGTTGTTATGATTGAATATAAGAGATGAATACTTAAATTCGAACAAAAAACATGATTGTGTTTTTCTTTGTTTTTAATTTGAAGTAGTTTTTCCCTGTGATTTGATGTTTAATCGTTAAATGAACAAGTAAACATCTGTTGGTTTTTATTAGTTTGAGTTGTTTTGACGTGGTTGGTTTTTAAGATTTTGGATGAAGTTTTTTTTCTCTCTTTTCTCTGGGCCGAAGAGATGTCAATTTTTTTTTTACTAATTGTTCAGTTTTTGGCATAGTTCTAGAGTTATATTCCAGAGCTATTAATTAAGTTAAGCTTACATTCTATGGTAGAATAATATACTATTTCTGTTCAAGTATCTTTTTGCTAAAAAATTTGCTTTCGTTATATAGTTATAAAGTTGAAAATCTTTTTATGGGTAATGATGATATTTTGGCAAATTGTAACTGCAGGTTAAGGGTTTAATATGCTGGATATTGAGAATCAAGAGGATATTTGTTATGATGATCTTCTTGGAACAAAGTATATATGACACTGTTGATGATCTCATACTTTCTTGCAGGATACAGTTTATTAATAAGAGGTTCTCGGAAGGACAAGTATGTTTATCTTGGTTGTGATCGATGAGGCAAATATCACAGCCATATCTTAGCAGAGAAAAGACGGAGAAACACGTTATCGCGACTCACAAATTGTCTATTTAAAATCTATGGGAAGAAGCATGCAACTGACTATTGGGAATTGTTGATTAAAAATGATTTCCACAATCATGAGCCTTCTAATGACATGTCTGGACACCCGATTGAACGTGTTTTTTTCGGAGGAAGAAATCTCTAGTGTTGAACAAATGAGCAGGATTGGTGCTTCACCTCGCCAGATTCTTTCATCCATTCGTGAAAAGAATTCAAAGGCTCAAGAGACAGCAAGGGACCTCTACAACGCGAAGAGCAAAATTTTAAATGAAAAGTTAAAAGGGAGATCTATGATTCAAATTCTGTTCGAAAAATTTGGTAAGGCCGGATTCTTCTTTGATTCCAAAAAAGATCATAATGGTTGTTTAACTCACCTCTTTTTTGCACATCCTGCTTTTATTGCATTAAGTAGAAGTTATTCAACTGTTTTTGTGATGGATAACACCTATAAGACTAATCGATATAAGATGCCATTGCTTGAAATAGTTGGGTTCAACACTTCATTCTATTTTTGCTTTGCGTTTTTGAGAAATGAAGCTTTTGATGATTAGAAGTGGGCTCTTAAAGCTTTTAGTAAAATGCTCGAACATGACATTCACCCGTCTGTTATAGTGAGTGATAGAGAATTGGCACTAATAAATACTGTTGTAAACGTTTTTCCTACAGCTTCAAATTTATTGTGTGTTTGGCATATTGAGAAAAATTTAGTATCAAAATGTAAGGGTTATTTTGATACGAATCCAGAATGGGAAGAATTCTTATTGGCTTGGAATCGGGTTGTGTATGCTTCAACGGAAGAACTTTACGAACAAGCTTAGAATGAGATAGATTCAATATATCAGAATAAGAGTGAAATTTTGAGTTATATCATGAAGACATGGTTGCCATATAAAAAGAATTTTGTTGATGCATGGACTGAGAAATGTTTGCATTTTAGAAATCGAGCATCTTCAAGAGCAGAGGGGGCTCATTCAAAATTGAAAAAGTATTTATTTTGGTTTCGACGGGGGATATTCTAAAGGTTAAGAACAGCATGTCGCTTGCACTTGAAAATGATTTAAAAGAATTCAGAACTAGAATATCAAGTGAAAGGATTAAAGTTCCACACTAGTGTAATTCGTCATTTTTCGGAAAAGTTTTGACTCGTATATCACTTTTTGCATTGAGAGAGCTAGAAAAACAGTTTGCAATGTTGAAAAATGATACCTGAAATCCTCTATTTTATTGAGCCCCAACATTACTCAGGATAAAGTCCTTCATCCATACTACCTTGCAAATCCCTCAGAAGCAAGTATTAGGCATGCCAATGGACTTCAATGACAAGAAAAAGCATATCTTCAGTACCTTCACATCAAGACTGAGAGGTAAGTTTGCTGACTGGAAAACCAAGTTGTTATCCCTCCCTGGTCGGATTACTTTAGCCAAATCTACTTTATATGCCATGCTTGTTTATCCCATGGAAGTATTTAAATTACCGGCATCCACCATCAAAGAAGCAAATAGCATTATCGCTAAATTCATCTGGAAGGGGGATAACTCTTATAAGGGCATTCACTGGAGATCATGGAAGAAAATGGCTAAGTCACAGTTCTATGGGAGCTTGGGTCTGAAATCGTCAAAGGAGTTTAACCAAGCACTCGTAGCCAAACACGCGTGGAAAACCATGTCTCATCCTCAATCCCTTGTTTCCAGGTTATTTTGAGCAAACTATTGTGGCGATGGCCTTTTTCCTTCTCCAACACATCATAATAACCTTTCCTGGGGTTATAAAGGCATACTATGGGGAGCTCAATTACTATAACACAATCTTAAATGAAAGGTGATTTCAGGGAAAGATATCCATATTGCGGACGAATGGATTCCCAATCATCCTAATCCTATACACAGAGATTCCTTTCTAGCTCTCCACTCTCAGCTCAAAATCAAAGATCTGATCAGACCTAATGGCCAATGGAAGGTACAATTCATGAGAACAATATTCCCCAGATCATGTCATCCCTCATATCACAGGCATCTTTATTGATCCAGAGCGCCATTCTCACAAGGATGATCTATATTGGATTCCTACTTCTCATGGAAAGTATATTGTTTAATCTTGATACCATGTAGCCATAAACCTTGTGCCAACATCTGGTATATCAAATGGCCCCATTCAAAATGTCAAAATCATTGCTTGGAGAAATTGTGGAATACGAAGGTTCAACCAAAGTTTAAGCTCCTCCTATGGAGAGTGGTTCTGAATGCACTTCTAACAAAGAAAGATCTACACATAAGAGGAATTGCCATTCCCACAGTTTGTCCACGATGTGGCCTTCAGGAGGAGGATAGTTTTCATTTATTTATCTCTTGTCCATTTTCTCAGGAAATTTGGAGTTTTGCGTACCCCCTATTCCAATCAGTGTACAACTCCTCAACTACAAATCTTCTGGAGTGGTATATAAACTGGATTCAATCGGGACCGACTGCAAAGGATATTGATCTTTTCCTCCACATTTTCTGAAGAATCTGGCTGGACAGAAATGATAAAGTCTGGAAAAATCAAACTCAAAATCCTACTCTTTCTTGGAGACTTATCCAGACAGAGCTTCAACAGCATCAGCAATGATTACTCAGAGCAGACCACAGTACTACATCGAGCACTTCTCCCATAGGCTCAGGAATCTCACATAATGAGCTTCAACAATCACAGAATGATGCTCTGATTCATTTTGACACCTCTTTTCAACCTAATACCTTGATGGCTGCTGGCTTATAGAAAATTACATCGCCACAGGGATTTGTAATGCAAATTAAGGCCTCAGAACTTCAGGCTCTCTCCCCTTTCCAGGCGGAGGCCCTCACATGTCTCATAGCATTAAGAGAAGCGATACAACTTGGTCTTACTCGTATTTGTATTCACACTGATTTTCAACTCCTTGCAACAGACCTAAATCAACACCCGATCCCGGTGGAAGCACAAGAAATTGTGCGTTTGTTAACTGCTCTAATGTCGTCTATTGAGTATGGTGAAATAATTAAGTAAGTCGTAATGATGTAAGTGACTTGCATAATATAGCGTATAATTTATCCGGTTGTAATAGTATAAATACTTCCAATTAATACCAGGTACCACTTTCCAAAAAAAAAATAGTTCATATTTATTAAATAGAAAGCCTTGTCGAAAAGTCTTAATTAGCCCATAAATATGAACGTACAACAAATCGTCAAGTTAATCGTGACCATAAAGTTTTTGATGTGGGTAGTAATTTTAGGTAGATGACTCCCACCTAAATATGATCTTTATTTTGAGACGAAGGAGGAAGTTATAACTGTCTCATTAATAAAAGACATTGGCAAGTACTAAGTCATACTCAATAGGCTTGTTAAATGGCTAGTGATATTGCCAGCACAATAATTAGCCTCCAGAGCAGAATATTGCTTTGTTACCTAATTTACTCCTATTAATTAAATCCCTAATTTCCTCACTTCCTTCTCTCATCTCCGCTCTGCAAATATCACAACTTCCAGTTTTTCTTTTCTATTTATCAGTTTAACAAATTCTCTTCTCCTATTTCAATTCCTATTCTAATAATTATGGAAATTTCTCTCTTCTTCTAATGTTAATCTTCAATTTCAGAATCAGGGTTTTGCTCCATAAGTTCAAGCATTCCACTTAATTTTGAAACTAATTAGTTTACTTCGTCATTATTCATCCCTTTTCAGTTTTCATTTGGTTTCTTTATGAATGGTGATACGACTTTTACTATTTTTCGTTCTGTTCTTTAATTTGCAATTTTTTTTCTAGCCATGCTTATGTGTGACAATGGTTGAATTTAGATGGGGACTTAGTCCGTATAGGACCACCAGTAGACGAACGGCCAGTCAGCGATGAGCTTCGTCCGATTAGAAAGGAAATCGGCGATGGCTTCATTACTATGCAGTTGATTCTGGAGGTGATGGAAAGAGTGAATTCTACACTTGGCCACAAAAAAAAAAAAAAGATGTCATGTGATGAATTGTTTTGTGATAAACTGAAGATGCTTGTATTTTCTTTAAAGATGATTAAAAAAAAAACTAACTGATTATTAGAACCAATTCTAAAAAAAATAAAATAAAATAAAATACCAGAAGTAATTAGCGAAGATGGAACGTGCCTCAGTTACCCAACATTCTAATCTTTTCCAATTTCAGATCGAATGAAGGTATAAAGCCAAAGGAAGATATTGATTACAAAGACTATTCTTGATACTATTTGATGTAGGGAGGGAGAAAAAGGAAAAAAAAAAGGAGCAGACGATATGGGTTAGAGCAGATGCTGGTTAGAGACTTTGAGTAATAAATTAGGTAATAGAGTCATATTTTGCTCTGGAAGCTAATTATTGCTATGGCAATATCGCTAATCTTGTTAAATGTGATGATTTCATCATTTATGTCAGGATATTTGATATGATTTGTTTGGATTAGACTTGATTTGATCTAGTATTTAGTGTTAGGAGCCTATCTTTGTATATCAATGCATGGAATAAACAAGCCATTTCGCCATCTGCCTTTTTTTGTTTCACAAGGCTCAAGCATTCATTCTTAATACAAATGTGCTTAATTACATGAGTCAAAGGATTTTTTTTCTCATATTCTCAATTCTCGCCCCTTGCTTTGATGATCCATTCCACAACTTCGACATTTTGCTTGATTTGAATACTCCTTTTTTTTTCACCTATAACGACGGTGATGTATTGAGCCCTTGAAACTATTCCTTCTTTGAGCAAACTTGGACCTTCTACTCACTCTGATGCCATCAGCAGGATTAACTTGATCATTGTAATTACAGTTCTTGAAGCACCGTCCCTTTTCCAATCCAAATGATCTTTCTCTAATCCTCACATCCACATGATGACTCTTAGGCCTCAAAGCCCTTCTCACATGTTCTTTCCGATAATTCCTTCCTCGACGAGACTGGACCTTAGGGTTGCGCGAGATTCGCCTTGATGATGATGACACTGAAATGCGTTCTTCAGCATCATCATCATCATAATCATCGTATTCTTCACTATTAACCGCTACTATTGCTTCTATATCTCTACTAGCTCGCCTTCTCCTTCGGCGTCTCTGATTATGCTTATCAAGCTTAGAACATAGGAAAGTGCAACAACATTCTAGAGTGGAGAAATAGATGGCACAACATGCCCATATACTTCTGCAGATGGTGTGACAAATACATTGGCAGATTCCCAACTTGTATGACAAGTAGAAGAATAACAGAACTGCACGATATTGGAAAAACATTTACATAGGATCAGACTATTATGGAGTTATATAGGCGCGAACCTTTCTGTTTGGGAGTTTTTTTTAATGGTTTTTTCTGTATTATATTAATCAAAAACTGTCCTATCTTATTATACATTTTTATATTTTCAATACAACTTTTTTACTTTCTGAATACAAAAAACACATACTGAAAAAAGACCTAAACATACTGTCTGATCATCAACAATTGTTAAGATAGAAAACTTACTTACCGAAGTACAAGAGAACTACAACCAAAGCCAACTTAAGCAATTGTGAAATACAGAAGTTGTCAATGTAGCATATAAGATCCCATGTTGGTCCGCAATTGGTGCTGCAAATTAAGTAGAAAAGGCAAACATTTTTGAGAACTTGGTCGAAAAATGCAATATGAAAAATTTTAACTGGCAAATTAATTTACAGAATTGAGCCACATTATGAGCACTAGAAGATATATTTTAATCAAAACCATACCTACATGATTTCCCAGATAAGAAGTCAAGTGGATGTCCTAACAATTTTCCTAGCACTTCAGAGAATCCAGTAAGGACTGAACCAACTACATTTCCCATTCTTGTATACTCTCATTAAACTAATATAAAAAAATAAATTTCAATAAGCGTTCTGCTCTTCGTTTAATTATCTAACTGAGAACCGCGCATTATGATCCAAGATCTCTCTGAGTATATTCCTGCGAAATAAAAAAAGAGAGAAGAAATGTAGTTAGTAACTATATGCATCATTAACACATGATAACAGATTAGAAAATATGCACGAAACTGAAACGATGTAATCAACTTTCAGTATGCAAATGCGATGCATGACTAAATTAAATTTGTAGAAAACAGGAAAACACAATTTTTAATCGAAAAATCACTATTTTGGTATCAAGAACTTCAAAAAAGTCCGTCAGAACATAAATTAAGAAAGAGCAGCGCAATTTACCCAAGTTGCTCAAACGCAAGAAGAAAATAGGCGAATCTGGAAATTTAATAAGAAGTAAGGGGAATCTCAAACTTTCTTTTTAACACAAAAAAGTCGACGGTTTTCCTGGCGTAGAAAGGAAGAAGAAGAAAGACAATTCTCGTTTTGGAAGTTATTTCTATATGAATGCTGAATCGCAGCCCGATATAAAATCTGAATTTTCCCCTCGTACGTGCCCATTCATCCCAAACCGCCTTCCCTACGTTGTCAATTTCGATTCTATATATTCTACCATCTTTCTTCCATCTGCTGCGCATCACTTTTGCACAACGGTAATTTTCCTTTCCTCCGTAAATCTTCTCATTATATAATTTGCTCTGTGGAATTGAACTCAAGTACAATAATGCAGTTAAAAAATGTGGAAAAAAATGCCCGTTTCTGTTCAGATAGAAATTATAAAAAAAAGAAAAGAAAAACAAAAAAAACTGCTCTTTTTATTGCTACTGAAGTGCTACCCAATTGTTTCTATCTGAATGCCATTTTTTAGAGACATTCATAAAATTTCACTTCACAGAACTCCATTTCTTTATGATCTCACCAATGTTCTTTCCTATTACTTAAACTACTTGAGGGGGTTTGAGTTTAACACTTCTCATAGCTTGTCTGGTCATTTTGAGAACCAAAAAAAAAAAAAAAAAGAAACCAAACTTGAAGGTGATGGGTGCGGAAGAAACTTTCATGATAATTCAAACTGTACAATAATTTTGGGACGGAAGGAGTACAAAACAAGTCCAGTAGATTGATACTATTTCCTTTCTTTTCCATCAAAAGGTGAGAGAGTATATACAACATCCGACAATCGACATCAAAGAGGAACAAGAATCTGCCAAAAGGGAGTTCCTTCAAAGTAATATTGTCGTGAACAAGTTGAAGAAAGTGTTTAATTTCTACCAATAGTACTAGAGAGATGCATGAAAGAAGCCCGAATTCCAGCAGATTAGCTTTTGAAGTGGATCAGCGAAAATGTTGTTACGAAGCTCCATAAAATTCATACAGAAGTGTATCGACCGCACAACTAACAGAAACCTATCGTAGATCATCCAATGGTTGCTTTACAATCCTAGGCTTGGCACGTTTTTGCGTTGGTGTTGACAGAGAAACCATGGTGGGTGTGAAGTTTCTCGGAGGATTTACGTTTTTTCTTGTTGTGTTCAAGCATGTATATAATTGTTATTCATTGGATTTGATTTAAAACATTGACTTTGTTGTAAATCTTACATGTCATTGTGGTGAATTTGCTGGTTTTTTAATTCATTTATCCACCTAAAAATTGCTGATTTTTTACCTTTTTTTTTTTTTTTGGAATTCATTTGCTGATTCTCAGATGATGTACTGTGTATATATTTAATAAAGTGAAATGAGAAAAGATAATAAAAATTGGAATAACTCTTTCTCTTTGTTTCCCAAAAAAAAAAAAAAAAACTTTATAAACAAACGTGCATTTTTGTCGGTTGAAGCTGAATTTCTAATGATATCAGTATGTGACGTTATTTTTCTGATGAAGATAGATCAAAGGTCAGCAGTATTGGTAAAAGTATCTCCAACCATTTCACTATAATTTGCATCAAATTTAGTATAAAAATATAATATTTTAAGAATCTTTTTACACCAAAGTTCTTTGTTCTCCAATCTTGATGCACCAAATGGTTTAAATATTTAATGTTTTAGGTTAAATTTTATTTTTTGCTTAATTAAAATCTTCTAATTTATTGATAATTTTGTGAAATTTGTTTCTTATAATTGTTTTTTATTTGATTTTAGTAGTATCATTTTTTTTCAATTTTGTTTCATATTCGATTTTAATAAAAATTAAAAATTAATTTTTTAAAAATAAATTTTATATTCAATATGGATCTTATTTTGAAGATCTCAACAAAATATTTAATATCATATTATTTTCACATCATAATTCGTTTTACAAGTTCAATTACATAGCAAACATATATTTAGATCAAATTAAAAAGATAGTGCACTAAAAATAGTGTTACGGACAATTTACACCAAATCTGGTATAACACTATTCATTGCACCAAAATAGTGCAGTGATTTAGTGTCTTCATTGGATTAAAATCTTTACACCAAAACACCAAATTTAGTGTTTTGGTGTCTTGGTTGGAGATGGCCTAATATCCCCAGATGGGGGCATTTTGTTTTTATGCCATAATGTTTAATTACATAGTAAACATATATTTAGATCAAAGTAAAAAGATAGTGCACTAAAAATAGTGTATTGGATAATTTACACCAAATCTGGTATAACACTTATTATTGCACCAAAATAGTGCAGTGATTTAGTGTCTTCGTTGGATTACAATCTTTACACCAAAACACTCTTCGTTGGAGATGCCTTAATATCCCCGATGGGGACATTTTGTTTTTATGTCATAACTTGAGGGTAAAATATAATTCGCCGAAAAGAATATACTAGAAGTTATAAGGTCTTGTGTCTCTGTGTTGAGATCTTCTGGGGTTAAAATACAATTTCATCAATTTCTTTTATTCACGGAATGTTGTAGTTTGATTTTCTAGACTTTAATCTTACCGGGTAAAAATAAAAAATAAAAATAAAAAAACGTTATTTGACAATGCAACTTGCTGATAATTGATATGCACTGCCAGGAGTAAGCATCTCAGGCCTCCCGTCATCAAGTCTTTTGTAACCACAATGATGCACAAAAATTTATAGTTAGATAAATTAATCTGCCAGCATCAGTTGGTCAATAGACCATTGAAGATCTTTTCCAGAATCTAATTCTCTACAGAAATTAGTTTGATACTGCCCTCAATTTATACATGGGATCAAAATGATTAAACTAATTCCCCATCTCTCCAAAGAACCGCTCCTAATTACTTCTGCTCAGGGACTCTGTATCTTGCGCGGAGTTGACCAAGAATTTCATCGTATTCTGGTGTCGCCTTGCTGAAAACTTCATTCCACAGCTTTGCAAGTACTGTTTCACACAAAATCCAGGTCTCAACTTAAAGATTTTAATACAAACATAACAGAAAATACTATTCCAGCGCCATTTCTGAAACCAATCAAGTTGAACGGGTACCGCAACTCAAGGATACAGGCTACACAGAAACAGATATTGGTCGTTGAGAGGACATCTTTCAAAGCAAGCAGAGCATTTTCGGTTACGCAATGCAAACTACGAAGTACAGGATGTACAGCACATTTTTCCAACTCAATGGAGCTTTGGAGAAGGGTGGTTACACCAAGTTGCCAAAGCATAATGTAATAATTTGCCTTACTCCCAAATGTAATACAGTTATAACATGCATCACGTAAATCTAGAATTTCAGCTTCAAATATTCTTGACTACATTGCCCTTCATACGTAATGCATTCATTTTACAACATCAAAATATGTGTATTGTTTCCCACCGGATCACATGAAAACAGCATTGAATTTTAACTTGTTATAAGCCTGAAGATAAAAATCCCTCCTTGAAAATGCAAGGAAAGAAAAGATCGGTTTTGAGTGGCTTTATCTGAATCGATTGTGAACCACATAACTCAAGTAAATACTTCAACAGTGTACAACAACATAACCTCTGAAAGCTTACCAGACTTATCCGTAGATGGTAGGCACATGACAATCACGTCAAATCTTGGGGTTTTCGTTACATTTTGCAAATATTGGACAGCTGAATCCATGTCCTCTCTGCCAAGCATGAAAAGAGTTCATAACTTGTAAATGTTATGATCAACTTATATATAGAACAATATGCTCAATATTATAATACGAAAGTATTCACTTACATGAAAAACGTCGCAATACATCTAATGATATCCATGAGAATCGGAGCAGACAAGGCGCTCTTAAATAGATGTGGCAATGAAGTTGGTAAAATCGTCTGAAGGAAAACGAGAATGTTAAACAATAGCAACAGCAAGAGCTATAACCATGAAAGATAGCAACGACAGAAAAGAAAATCAGATCAAAACATTTTTTGTCCACCAGCAAGTTCTCACGGTTTGAAAATTAAGTTGGTTCCAAGATGAAAAGGAAATTGCAAAGACATCAATCTATTGATGGTGTTCGCACTAAATAAAAAAATATAAAGAAATGTGCAAAAGGCAGCAGTAATGTTCCTTGTGCAACAAAAAAATCTCAAAATAAAAAATGTACCTAGTGCTGAAGGTATGATAATTTTGATGCAACTAAACTAGGCCAAAATGATAAAAAAACACAACGCAATAAGTTTTCCATACATACATCATGATTAATACAATAAGGGAACATATAAAATTATACCTTCAACAAGCAAGCTTGCAAATTATGATCACCAGATAAGTCCTGCCACGAAGTCTCAAACTGGCGGGCCGTGTTTGGTGGCGAGATGTTTTTTGCAGCCTGAGCCTTATAAAGGGAAGCAACCCGAGTAGAAAGCTCCTGCACTGATGGCATCAGCGCTTGCTTGCCAAGTTTCTTTTTACCCTGTAGAAAAGGCTTAGAAAGGTCAAAAATTATAAATGCAAAAAAAAAAAAAAAAGCAGCTTTGTGCAGAGAGAGCAACTACAGAAAGATTGACATTATATCCAGTGTCACAACAATTTCGGAGACATATCAAGGCATTCAACAAACAGGAGTATATTCTAACTCAACAAACAAAAATGTTACAGATCGCTGCCCCCATAATCTCATTATTACAGAAGAAGGAAGCTCTAAATTAAGAGTTTCAACAGATAAATGTTCACATTGATACGGGAGAAACTCCACACAAGATTTCCAGCAAATAATTTTTCACAGTGAACAGGGAGAGGCTACGGATATCAACAATCTGTTTCCAAAGAAAATTATCCCCCTAAAAATGCAAAAATCTCCTTATGATTTTAGCAAAAAATTGGCTACTCAAAAGTAAAGATTAGAGCCAGGTAAAAAACCTTTGCTGCATTCCAATGAGAACTCTCACCATGCACTTCAAGAGCAGATTCCCCATGCGTTGTCTGCATAATAGTACAGGATCTCTTAGATGGAATCAACCCAGAAAGAGAACATTACGCAATATGAAAGAACTAGATTTCATGGAGCTGCCTCATGCACGAATGTAATACAATTAGACTTCAAATGAAATTTTGAGTGGAAATACTTAGTAAAATCAATACAAACGTCCACTAGTGAAAAAAATGAACCTCGTGTTGGGGGAAGTGTTTGGCGGCGGAGACGGGGTCACAAGCAACCATATCCAATTCTTAATATCTTTATTACCCGAAAACCAGAAATTACACATACAACAGCTTAAACCATAAAATATGAAATTATACACAGGAATTTCGTAAGGCAAACAGTATACTTCTGCCAATCAAATCAGACCTTTTGTTGGTTGTCCTGCATTTCAACAATCATCTTGCCATCAGAAGTACTGGTCCTAGATTGGACAGTGTTTACAGAATCATCCACTTCAATTGAGGCCTTTGCCTTTTTTCTCGATCCTTGCAAAGAGCTGCACGATGCTTTGGACAATTTATTTACCACATCCTGTGAAAGTGAGAGACAAAACATTTAATAAGTGGAAAACTATTAACAGGAAGTCGATCCCACAAGCAATAAATTTTTAGTTGTGGTCAGACAACCACTAACAAGAGCGGTAGTACTATCGAACTCATCAGTTCAATTATTAGGTTTTAACCACTAAACTTTCCATGACAACTTAAGAGACTCAATTTTAATATGCCTACCAACACATCATCACCAACAAGACCCACAAAAATTTCCCAATGATATTTGAAGAACAAGTGCACCAGTTTCTGTTTACAGTATGTACCTTTTCAAGCAATGTTTTGACTTCTGTATACTGCTTTTTGAGTTCCTGGCTTTGTGGCTCCAATTTTAAGGCAAAATCAACATCTGAGACCCACAGGAAGAGTGTTACATGATAATCAATGACAACGGTTAGTGAGGATAAGGCCATAGACATACCCTCGAGTGATTCTTTGAGTTTCCCAAGTTCTTTTCTGGCGGTTGAACGGCGAGAATATGCCTTAGTGTATTGATCATCTAAATTTAACGCCTCAGAACAATCACTTTCGGCCTCCTGAAATCTAATTTGACAATAAGGAAAAGGTATTACTGCCTCTTTACCAGTTTAACGGCTAGACTAATAAAAAGTAAGAGTTCCGAAATTAGTTTCTGAAAATTGAAGAAGAGACATCAAGATCTTACCTTCTAAGTTTGATATAAGCCATCGCCCTGTTTGCATAAGCTACCGCAGTTGGCGACAATGCTATGCTTCTTGAATAACAGTCAATTGCTTCATTATAATTTTTCTTTTTAAAGAAATCATTGCCCTGTAAATGGTCCGTAATGACTATCGATACTCATTTTAACAAAACCAAGATGCATAACAATGATTTTAATGAGCAAATATACCAACTCTTTCTCTGAGTTTGCATCAACAGAACTCTCCGTTGCTAAAATAGAACTGGATAACTTGCTCAGTTCATCATAATCTTTCAAGTAGTCATGTTTCCCAGAAGAAGACACGCTATGAGGCTTTTGAGCGGCCGGCATCTGACCAATTTTTGAGCTATTAGAAGGCTGAAAACCATTCCCTACATTACGCCTTTGAGCAGGAAGATACTAGAGAGAACAACAAAAAAAAAAAAAAAAAAGGAAAAAAAGAACCAAAGTCAAGAACCAGGATTGGATTTGTTATGCATTAACAGCAACAACTAAGCATTTATCCATGACCGAAATTAAATTTATAGGCAGGTTGCAGAAAAGCCAAAACATCTAATATCCCATTCTAAAACAAGGCGTCTAGACATTTGGTCAATCAGAATACGTTCTGTAACTTCATGGCCTAATTGCTGAAATAGAAAGTGAATTTGTGGGTCTCTAATGATTGACTCTGCTGATATAGTATTGAAACCAAAGTAAATAACCGAAGATTCTGTATCCTAGGTGGACAAAATCTTTTTGGCAAGCAAAAATCGCTTTCTCCTATTTGTGATTCTACCGCTCATTCATGGGGAAATAAAATAAGACAAGAGAAAGCATTAATGGAAACTCACCTTCCCTTTGTCTTGAGGCTGTGGTTTCAGCTTCTTTTCCTTATCCTTAAATGATAATTCCCAATCCTGTAAGTTATTCAGAAGGCCTTCAACGTCCTGTTTGGCCGAAAGTGTTACTAAAAGGGCAAAAGATTGTGAACAAGGAAAGTCTTGAATTTACTAGCTCTAGAACTACTACCAAATTACCAATCAACAGTATTTCAAGAACTTTCTGAACACAAAAATCAAGAGCACATCAGACTGCATAGAAATGAGAGTAAAATGGTGTTTCTTCTTTTTTTTTCAACCCCAATATCAAAATTCATCAATGAAGCTGGTGATTTATCACAAAACACACCATCAATGCCTAAAATTTTTAATCTGAAGCAACAGACTAAGATCATTTTGACCCCTCTGTGGGAGTAGAAGTTAAAGCGACGAAATTCACTCTTTAGAAAAAAAAAAAAAAAAAAAACAAAAACCTCAGCAAAATCGAAAGAGGGCATAAGTAGTGTACAAAACTAAAAGCGAAGAACAAAAAACAATCTTTTTGACGTGGGGAAAAGATATCAAGAATTAACGTTCATCACCAAGTATCAAGTTGTGTAGCTCATGGTTTTCTGTCTTCTATTTTACCTAAGAGATACTAAAGCATTTACCTGGGCATGATCTCGGCCGTGTTTTGAAGGAACCCTACCAGCCATTGTTTCCGAGGTGCAAAGAATCGGCAAAGGAAGATTAATTCCGACCGTCAGACCGACGCTTCTGGAGACGCTGCGAATTGTATTTGTACTTCCACTGAACACAATTTTTGTATTTTTAAGTTTTTTTCCATAAGTAAACACAGGTCAAACTTTTAATTTGTTATTATCCTTTTAAAAATATAATTATCAAAGAAATGAGTTATTTTATTAACAAATGAAAATAAAAATAGATGATTTAGTTCCAAACTTCCATCAATTGTGTAGTTTCAGTATCCTGCTCCTATTCTCCCGAAAGGGACCTACCCGCTCAAATCTAGATTAGTTGGAGTAATGACTTCAGACAATAATATACCACAAAAAATAAAAAAATAAAAGATAAAAAAAATATAGACCAAGTAAGGCCTATATGCTAATTGAGTAGGGTTGTATGCATATGGATTGTCCAAACCAAATTTAGGAAAGATTATGTAGTACTGTCATTAGATTATAATTTCTATCCATTTCAGATCAAGAGTTGAACCATTTAATAGAATTTCTTCGAATTTGGATGACATTGAGCCTAGAATAGCAAATTTCTAATGGGGCATTCTCTCATTCACTTACACAAGTGACAATGCTAAACGCCTAGAAATGCAAATTTTGTTCAGAACCAGATTGGAAATTTCAAAATTGCTACATTCATCCAGAATTAACGTGAAGATTAATACAGTAACCTCTGAGGAAGATGGGTATATAACATGGAGTCACTTCTTAAGAGAGCAAATAGGCGGTGCCCTTCATTTGCATTGGGAGACAAAGTGTTCTTACCAAAACCAAAATTTGAGCTAAACCAAGCTCGAATTGAAGCATCACATTCACTCTTTTACTGGTGAGTGCATATTTTTACATTCTTACTGAGAAATTAGTCAAGTTCTTGCCCTACATCCTCTAGGATCTAATATGAGAAGCTACACATACTACAGTCTACAGCTAGCCATTCCTACGGCTACAAGCACTAAACGAATTAACTTTACACAGAGATTCCGCAAAACAAACTAGCTAAAAGCTTTTCCTTTATTTTTTTTTTTTTTTTTGGAGAACAGCTTAAAGTTAATCAACTCTAAAAAGAAGCTACGCTTGGCATTTTCTCGTGGATTGCCTTGTAGCAACCAAGGCTGCAGAGAGGCAGTTTTGACTTTGCATCACGGTACTTGTATGCATTTGTACAAGAAGGGCCGGCGCAGTTTTCACGTGGAGGGGGATAACTGGAAACCAGCAACAAATGAAAGTCACATGCCAAAAAAGGGGGGTGTTAATCAGAGAAGGTGCACATCAAAAGAAGTAAATACATATTGACTAAATAGAACACCGTGGACTAGTCTCGATGTAATTGAAACGGAGCAGACAGACACAGGAACATAAACGAAATAGTTATACCTTAGAGGTTTGGACTCAAGTATGCTTGGAAGGCCTATCTCATCAGGGAATGTAACTGTAGTTCCGGAAGGGCCAATCACCCATCTCACCGAATTTGAAGGCAGAACTGTCTTCGCAGCCCTTTCCTGCCAATGTATACACTTGTAACTTAAAAATCCATGCAAAATGATACAAAGACTAAAAAGAAGTACTGGAGATTTCACCTGAGCCAGCTCCTCTTGTCGCTTCTTAAGCTTATCCTCTTGCTTCTTCCTACTGGAATCTTGGCCCAGAATTTTCCGAATCGCCTCAGCCTGTAAATCAACAACTATTGTCATCTCATACAAAGTGACATCTAATTCATCTATTTTACATATCCATCCACATAGCTCATACTATTCAGACAAATATAGTTAACAAAAGTTAAGACCTCTGCTTCCTGAGCAGCCTTTTCTTGTTGCATCCGACGTCTTTGAGCTGCCTCAGCTTTCTTTACTTGCTGCTCAACCTCAGACAGCTTTTCCTTCGGCTCTATCACCAGAACCAGAACGAATTATTACAAGATAGTTGTACACAAAAAGTTCAATGCATTAGTTAAAGAATTAAGACAGACAGAATAGAATGAAGGGAAAAAATGAAGAGCTCACTTTTAGGCGGAGCAGGTGGTAATCCATGTGGGAACTCAATTAAGTTAGAACCAAAAGTGGAGGAATAAGCCCTGCCACTTTTGAGTGCCCTCTGGCGAGTAGTGATAGCCATTTCCTCCTTGTACAACCCAGAGACATCTATAAACTCCTTGCTCCGTTTCTTCTTTAGTTCAGGCTCATCATCATCAGACAACAATTCTTCATCTTCAAAATAGTCACTATCTTCAGATGCTCGCATTGACCTTGACTTATTACTCTCCTTGTCTGATGTTGAGCTGTTATATCTCATATCAACATCATTACCATAAAGCTCGCTATGAATGACCCCAGAAAGACTCCGCTGTTTCCCACTTCCTTCTTCATCTATTGCTTCTGCTATATAACTTGAACTATATCTCACACCTCTGACTTTTTCAAGATATCGAATCTCATCATCACTATTTTCTTCCTCATCCTCAAAAGATTCAGCTATCAAACGTCTCTTCGGAACACGCTTGCTCTTACGAGATGACTCATTATTTCCAAAATGCTTCGCAGAGACATCTTGTTCAGCTGTCCTACCCACAGAGAGAGCTGGTTTCTTGATAATAATTCCACTCTTGGAGAAATCCTTCCATGGGATGCCACGCAGACTTTCTCTGCCTTTTGGAGCATGATGATCTTCGCCTAGACGATCCTGCCAGGTGTAGCATGAAGCTTAGTGTGTGATATGTTCATCATGCAGATTGAAACTACATTGTAAAAAAAGGTGTTCACAAGAATGCACACACTTAATAGAGATTAATGCAATAACACTTTTAATTTAAAGCAAGCATGATGGTCCCAGCAAGTAATTCTACGAGCACAACAAAGTTACCTCAGAAATCAGTTTATGCTTAGCATGGAGGGTATCAGAAACATCGGAAGTCTTCAATGATGAAGAGGCAGCCAAGGAAGAATCTTCAGAAGAAGTTTTGGTGTGTAACGTGTGAGTAACACCACCAACCTTAAGCTTCACCCTCTTCAGTTTCCTAATAGCAGACTCATTGGATTCTCCCGTTTGTAATCTTTCATCTTTGGTCTTGACAACAGTTCCAACTTCAGACAGGTTAGTATCTGATGCTTCTGAAATGTTTTGCTTCACATTTTCTGATCTAGAGGAAGCACCATTCAAGGCATTTTCTTCACTTGATGCTTTGCTCATACTATCTGACAAAGGTGTTGATGCCAAGGATGAATGGTCATAGAAAGCTGAACTAGATGGGGACTCATCTTGTGGATGCCGGTGTCGGATGCTTCTCTTTCTCTTCACACTTCTGCTGCTACCATCAAACCCAAAACCTCCAAACTTATCCATATTGACAAATATATTCAATCAGAAGCCTGAATCAGCTGAAATGCACCAAATGCAACAATATTCCACATCAACCTTCTTCAGTAATTAAGGAAAAACACGTTAATTAACTTTTCGAATACAGCAGAGTCAACTATGAAAGAGAAGCCAGACTGATTTGATCGAAAATCAGCATAATTTCCACTAATATATGCATAAGAACAAGAAATTCATACAAAAGGAGTATGCACAATTAACTTCAACATATTCTCGCACCAAGGTGGTCACAACAAATTATGCATTACGAGCAAAGAATTCCCCGTATAAAAAATATGAAGACTCGAAATCTAAAAGGAACTAAAACCAATTAAACTAAGTATCCGAAGAACTGCCCCTGGCATTACTTGATAAACATAGAATCATCTTGTCAAGCAAGCTTTTCTGAAGTACGCCACGGAAATTAAGTAGCGAATTCCTCTTACTTTAAACTCTGAAACCGCCAAAATGAAAGAGCAGCAGAATTTAAAAGAATGAATCAATAAATTACCAATTAACAAATTAAGATTTCTACCAAAACCCATATACGAGTATTAAACTCCTACCATTAAAAGAACTACTTACAGAAGCAAAACAGGAAAAGAGTACAATAAATTAGGGAAGAAGATAATCACCAGGATTTTACTTGTCGCCTAGCCATGAAACCTCCAAAAAAAGGAAAATCCCTAAAGAACATGGCCGAGAAAGCTTCAACAAAATGCGAAAGGCGATGGTGTAGCCTGAGAATTAGCAGAACCCAGCAACGCAATTGTGTTGAAGTAGGGAAATCTGGAAAAGGGCTTTACAATATAATGCTAAAATCATGAAAAAGATGTTGGATTATAGCAAAGAAGTGGCCGTTAATCAGCTTCTTCCCCACTTCATCGTCTACCATGTTTATCCCAAAGTCCCTGAACTCAAACCACTAAAAAAAAAAAAAAAAAGCCCTAAAACAAAAACACCGGGAGTTCGGAGTGAAAATGATTTTGATATGTTTGAGGACTGTTAACTTCTCTACAGAGTTCAGCTACCTGACATAATAATTGCTTGTTTTCTTTTTTCCTTTTCTTTTCTTTTTGGAAATTTGAAAAGTCATGAAAATATTATTCGCTCCTAATTTATTACTACTATTAATAACTACTTAATTTCTGTTATTATTTGGGGAAAACATGCAATGACAAGGGGAAATCAAATGTGAACTATTGAGAGGTTTTTTTTTTTCCTTATACTTAAATAAAAGGCACAGTAGACAAGAAATAATGCCCAAGAAATATTCAAGGACTACCGTCAAATCGATCTCGTCCGCCGGATGGGGTTGATATGACGTCAGCGACTTAAGCGGGGCAAAATTGGAAGTTCAGAAAGTTTATTTCCAAATTTTATATTTTTCCTTCGGTTAAAAATAGCTGTGTTTTGAAAACCGGACTGGCCCGGGCGGTCTAACCGATTAGCCCGGGAACTAGGAGCCTCACCGGTCCAGTTTCCATAAAAAATTGGATTTTGTATAACCCGGTCAAACTCGGTAAAACCCGAACAAAACTACGGTTTGACCGGAAACCGGTACCGGTTAAACTGGTTTTTGCATATATTTTTTTAAAAATTAATTTTAAATATTTTTTTAATATTATTTTAACCAGTTTTTACTGATTTCGAGGAACGACTAACCTGTTAATCCGATAAACTCATCAATCCGGTCACGCTAACGGTTCACCTTCCGGTTCGGTTTTGAAAACATAGAAAAATAGCACCTGTTTTTGGGAAAAATCCCCAGGCCAAGAAAACGACGTCGTCCATCCCTCCCCCCTCCCCCAACTATAAATTCGAACGGTGACTGCATAATAGACTTCAACTCCCAACGCTCCTTCTCAAATCACCCTACCATTGAATCGGCCATTCATCAACGGCCATTGAATCGTGCATAGGGCCTTGTAAATAATCCAATTATTATCATGAACAAAGACACTTGTCTGCTGACGAATTAATTCTTCTGCTTATGAATTGAGGTCCATTGTCGTTATTCGCTCCTGGTTTTAGGAATTGGATGTCTATTAGGTTTTCTTCTTACAATTGTTTTAGGATTAGGAAATTCAAGATTAGCAATTTAAGCCTCCTTTGGACAAACAACATCTTTATTTCTTCAGGAATTGATGTTGTTAATTTTTCTTCGATTTCTTCTCTTCAGGCTGCAAACAATGAAGTTTTGTCAACTCAATTTATGTCATCAAATTTCTTCCTACAAGATAGCCAGTCTCTTCATCGGTGGCCCACTGCACCTCTTCTCCTCCAAGCTTCCAAGTTTCTTTTCCGATCGAATCACATAAAAGCTTTCAGGGTCTTTCTCGGCCGATTCAGGTATGATTTTTATTTTTAATTATGGTCGAGCTTCTTGAAATTAAGTGGATTCAAATGGGTGTTTATTCTTATTTTTTACTGGGTCTGTTTATTCATTATTGGTAGAGGATTTAATATTGATCCGTTTAATTTAGCAATATTGGTCAGTTTATTGGCTCTGTTTATTCTTTTTTTTTTGATATTGAGAATCTGCCTGTAGTTAGAACTTGCTACGTCAAGGTTTGTTTAATTTAAATTTAGCTTTCTTTCCTTACCACTGAGGTGTCATCTTCGATGAGAATCTCCTTGTGATTATGATTATCTTGTTGTTCAGTACTGTACTTAGTCGTTAGTCTTTCGCCTCTCATGTGGCTGTTCAATAGTTATTTTCAACTTATAATGATAAATAGCTCAATATAGTGAGGGAGTAAATCATATGTCTATTCTTTTATTCCTTGACCTTCCACTTCTCACCTTTCTTTTTGTGTATTCTTTGTGTATTTTGATAGTATGCATCGGCATGTGAATGGATCAACTTGAACAACCAGAACCTTCAAGGAGTTTGTATTTTTGCAGAGCCAGATTGTGTAAAGTAACATACTGTAAGTGAAAACTGGACTCCTCTATCTAAGTAATTACTGGCTGCTAGAAATTCCCCTAGGTTGTGCCTCTTTGGTTGTTGGAGGCAACAACCATGACCCTTTTGTAAGAGCCACAACCACTTTTTTTTTTTAAGTTAGTACTTTTTAAAAGTTCAACAGTTGAGTAATATCTTCACCTATGGTCGCAAGTATTAAACTTTGAAACTGCCAGGGATCCGAGTAGGTTGCTGCCCCTGTCTTTGTCTGTGGAGGTGCAAGATTTTGAAGTGGTGTTGGGTTTTGATCGATTACCAGAAGTGGTGTTGGTGTTGGGTAGCTGTTGGTTTTGGCCCCAATGTAAACTTTAAGGGGTTAGTATTAGGAAATTCTATGCGTACGAAAGAGGATTAGAAATATGTTTACCTATTCTCTTAATTGTATTAGGATTTGGAAACCCTTTCGTTTATAAATACATCACCTAAAAGAATAATGTGATTTCGGAGAAACTTACCCCTTGTTTTGACCTTTTTTACAAAGGGTTTTCAATATTTTTGTTTATAAAGTCTCATCATGATCTCTACTGGAAATCCTTTTCTGCCTTGTAGAGCTCAGGTAGTGTCTGATAAGAAATTTCAGCACATTACTGTTGGTTCCTTGTGTGCCATCTGGTTGTGTCTTGAGTATAGAAGCTCTTTTTTGTTGATGTTTAATTATATCTGTGTCTCACTTTTCCTTGTTATTCCTGTGCTCATTGGATCAGCTGTCCTCCTTTGAATTGCTCCAAACCCTTTAATTTCTCTTCCTTTTTCTTTGAGATGATTTTTTTTCCCAGATTTGTATTTAATGTGTATCACTTTCTGCTCAAATTTTTCAGTTTATAAAACTAAAGAAACACTTCATTTTCAATTGTTTTAACTTGTTTGTATTCCTTCTGCTGTTGAAGAAAAATTTGAACAAAAACATTTGAGAGAAGCCAAAGATGATGATACTCTTCCTCACTGCTGGAAAGGGAGGTTCATTTTGAAGCATAAATGAAAAGACAAAATACTTGAAGCCCCTACCACTGAGTTTCAGCAATGGTTGGCAATCGAAATCTCAATTCATTTTTTATATTGGTGAGTGTTTCAATTCTTCCTATTGTCTTGAACAAATTGCCTTTCAAAAACTATTTGCTAATAGATAGCTTCTTAGCAAAAAAAGTAACCAAGGAATAGTTGGTAAACAACATTATAAAAACTATTTGCCAATAGATTAAAGGGCCAACCATAGGATTTTCTTAATGGGTTATTTTGGAATTGGCTTATTTAAAACCTTGTGCTCACTAATTTTCCAAGCTGTCCATCTCATTGTGAAGCTATATGCTTTCAGAACATCAGTATTTACTGTTCAGATTCTTTTACCATTCAGATTTCTTCTGAACAGCAGGCTACTACAATTTTTAAAATGCATATGATTGCACATGCTAGCTTGCTAGCTAACTACAATTGATGATGACAACGTTGTATCACTATTTCTGGTGTTTCCAAACATGATTGAAGAATAAAACTGTTTCAATGCTTTCTAGACAAATTGATCGTAAATAGTTGTGCTCTTTCAATGCAAGGCCTTGCTAATTTGACAGAAAACTCTGCGAATGCAAGGATGCATATGAGAATGTGGTTGGTGGGAACCTAAGCATGAAAGAAAAATACTTTGGATATGAAGGTAGCCGGCAGAATTTCCGGAAAAAAAGAATACAACGAAGTTTGTTCAAATTTTTATTCAATGGCCTGAACGATTGTTTATTTTGGCATCAAACTGAACAACACAAAGACTTTCAAATATACTGGACTAGCTCCATGAGCATTCAACAGGAAGAAGCAGATTCTTTGGCGACCATTTTGAAGTACTTCGCATCCAAAATTGTAAATAGTCTTTTTACATCTGTAAGCCTATTAACTCATGAAACAACAAAATATTGTAGAATACAAGATTTCAACTTCTGTCAATGGAGTTTCTTTTATTTTATTTTTTTTTGCTTCACAATATTATAGAATACAAGTAAATTTAATTGAAATATCATTTCTATTTGCCTCGAAATATGCAAATGCAAATGCATTTTTAGTTGGGATTAGATCACATTGAGAGATTTGGTAAATGAACAAATTTGCAAGTAAACACGCAATTAACATTAATTAAGTTATATAAAAATGACTGAACAAAAGGATAAGGTGTTTACCTAATAAATATGAAATAGTAATTTAATTCTATAATTTGAGTGAAAACATCGGTGAAGATCCTAGCAATGCCTCCTACGTTAAAAGAGGTGTTAGAGGACGACAACAAGACTCGAAACGTCGTTTATAAGAGGTCTTCAAGCTCGCCGAACAGTAGGAAATATCAGGGCAAATATGGCTCCCGTTATTTTGATCTAAATTTTTTTTCTCCTTTTTTACATAGATATTAATGTTTATTTGCCATAAACATACACAAAATATTTATTACCGTTTTGTTTCTCTGATTATATATCTTTCAACATGTTCTTTTTTCGTTTTCATAAAAATATGTTCTTTCTTGCACTTTATTATACACTACTAAGTCTAACGGAGTAAACAAATGTTAAAATAGACTGGTCGCGCAACGCGCGACACCAAAAGACTAGTTTGAGTAAATGTGAAATATTGAAAGCTACGTAAGATAAAATGAACATTTTGAAAATAAAATTTTAGATATTTACCTATATAAAAGTTAAATTAGTTTCTCTCTCCAAAAATTTTCTCTAGACTCTCATAAGAAAAGTTCTTTAACGACAACCTAAAGTTATTTTTTCATGTTTGTCAGAAAAAAAAAAGTCTTTTTTTCAATTATGGACGTGATACAAAAGAATCTCCATTGCCAAACACTGAGAACATAGTAGTAAGTATCGTACGATACGAGATACGTATCGCACGATACATATCGAATGTTATGTATCGCAATCGCTTGTGTATCGGTCAATTATCGATACGTATCGTACGATACATACGATACACGATG